TGTCAGTGCCCAAAGAGGCTCTGGGGCAGGTGACAACATCAGGAATGGGAGAAAGCTCCCTCTCTGGTCAGGGGTTACAAGTGAGGCCTCACACTGAGCCCTCACCCTCGATTTGGGTCAGCATTGAGGACTTCCCTGCTGGCTGCCTCAGAAGGGCTCCGTGGAGAAGGAGCTCTTTCCATGCAGAAGGCCAAGTATTCACTACCCAGTGAGGTAAGAACAGGTTCTGCCCACACCTCCCTTCATTAGGGGTGTCTCAAGGGTTCCAGCTGCCATTCCTGTGCCAGACAAATCCAAACTTCTCCTTAGGAACTCGGGATGCAGCCAAAGAAATACTTAATGCAAGGAAAGCATATTAGAGCTGCAGGTAAACCTCTTCCTATATCATTTTCGAGCAACACAAAGAAAGTTTAAATACAAAACTTATAATTTTCTGCAATCATATTCCAAATAATGCCCGCTCCCTTTTTTTTGCTTGGAAAATCAGTGACTCCTCAGCATTTCAGTTTGCACTTTGTTGTTACTGAAAAATACAAAGAAGCATCTGATAAAATGCAATCTTTCAATTTTCCTCTTTATTTTCTCTTTCCTTATGAATCTTTCAACATTTCAGAACTGATCAGATTAAGTAAAATTACACAGCTTTTTCAACATGACAATTATTTTAAATGGAGACACATGAATTAAATGAAAAGTGATGAAAGACACAATATATCTAGAAGGTCTAGAAGAAATGAGAAATATAAAGGGGAAAGACTGGGACCATTACCATTCTAGATCTGAAAAGAAAAGTTTGGAAAACATTAAATGGAAGCAAGAAAGATACTTCCACTGAAAACAAACCAACTTTCAACCCACTGAGAAATGCAGGACACAGTGTTAGGCTGGAGGAGGTGCTTCCCTGATGGCTTTTTTAAAGGCTCCATCAGTCTGAGCTATGAGCAGCTTGTGGAAGCAACGAGGTGGGAATGAGGTTTCTTTGGAAGCTGGGCAGCTCTGGGCTATCAGGAATCTCTGCCTCTCTTTGCACCTGGGCTCCAACATTTTTGACCACTCTCAGGAGAAAAACTCCTCCTGTGGGAGGAGTCAAGATTCATTTGTTAGGCCAGAGAGCAAGCAAGGGGTGAGTCCAGGCTCTCCATCTCCAGAGCAGAAGCACATCAGATTTTCCAGTTCTGGGAAGGAAAAGCCTTACTGATCAAGGCCAGGAAAAGGCTCTTGCACTCTTTCTCTGTGCAATGCCAGAACATCAGTGATGCTACCACAGCAGCAGGGGGATAAACTTGGGAACAACTTGTACTTGATTTCCTGGACAAGTGTCTGCAGCCTGCAATCCCACGAGGCTCAGGCTGCACTAGCAGCTTATCCACAAGCACCTGCAGGTTATCTGTGTGCCCAGCAGGACAATTGCACAAGGAATTGCACCCTCCTTGCTGCCCAGACTGGAAACAGAGGCTGGCATAAAGCATCTGCAGCCCACAGCCAGAGCCACAGGCAGGACTCGCCACGGGCTTGGCTTTGCTGGGCTCAGTTTCACACATCAGACTCAAGGACTCTTCCCTCTAGACCTGCAGTGGGATCCAGCTCCAGAGGGAGCTCTGCTGTCTTGCCTTGTCTCCAGACTCTCATCCCATCCACCTCAGGCTTCACATTTCTGATGAGGTTGAAGCAGAATGAGACAAGCAACAGGACAGGGCTACAGGGGTAGTATTTTGAGGATACCAAAACCGGCTGCCCTGTAGACAACAGGAGGAAGAGAAGCAGCTCTGAGCAGGCACTTGAATCCACTTTGTCCCACTGGAACTGCCAGAGGTGTCTGTCAGACTCACCAAGGTGGTTTTCTTCCCTTTAGGGCCAGGTTGAAGAGCATTTCTGAGCCCGCTGCTGCCTTTGGCCCCAGTTTCTGCTTTCAAGAGGCAATGAGCAACTTGGAACCCAGCCTGAAGGCTGAGCCTGACCTGCCCCGAGGAGCACATGGACTGTGCCAGCAATGTCTCAGCAGCACAGGCAGGGCCACAGCTCCCACATGATTCCCATGATCCAGCCCTAGAGAAGGCATTCCAGGCTGCTTCTACCCCCACTGGGTGCAGCTGGGCTTCCCACTTTGCTTCCTTGGGGTGAAAGAAGCTCCTGCACAAGATGATTCCAGTCAATGCCAAACTTTGCCTCTGGCCACTGCCTCTGGCAAAGCCTCCATTGCCATTAGCTCCAAGCTCATGTCTCCAAGAGGAGACAGCACCAGCTCTGCTTGCTTGAAAGGATGAGGGATTAATAAAGCAAAACCCAGCTGACTGGAATATGGAACTGTTAAAGACTTATTTCTTGCTCATTCCTGCAGGTTTGGAGAAGGAGGATTCTTTGCTGAAACCATTTTAGCTTTGTGATTCCTTGCAGATTGATTTTTCCTAAAGTTCTCAAAGTTTTACGATTGTTTATGATCAAGCACCCCATGGGGTAGGTGAGATACACTGGGCAGTTCAAACTGTGCTTCTGTTTGTGGCTGAGGTTTGCAGATGCTTCAAATGGATTTGGAGGTCCATTTCCTGGATGGGAATTTTCTTTGGGGGATTTCAATGCCCATTTCAATAGGGTAACTGCCTCAGGCTGACTGAAATGGTAATATCCTGCCTGGAGGTGGGGATGGGGCTTGCAGCAGCCTGGAGAAGGAGCTGTTGGATAAGTGGCAGGGAGCAGAGGTGCAAAAGCAGATGATGGGCTGATTGTCCCTGCCTGGGGAGGCCTGATTGTCTCTGAGCCTTCCACTTTGTCCTGTGCCAGGAACAGCTGCATTTGAGCAGCCTGCCTTAGGCTGCAGTGCTTGAGAGGTGTAAATCCATCCAGGACGGATGGAAGACAGGAGCACACAGGATCCAATGCAAACAGGATCCATCAAAATGGGCCAGAAAATTACAGGGGGACTGGAGCACCTCCCCTATGGAGACAGGCTGAGACAGTTGGGGCTGTTCAGCCAGGAGAAGAGAAGGTTGGATGGAGACCTCACAGCCCCTTCCAGGAGCTGAAGGGGCAACAGAGAAGCTGGAGAAGGACCCCTCATCAGGAACTGCAGGGACAGGGACAAGGGTCAGTGGCTGCCCACTGCCAGGGGGCAGGGATGGATGGGATATTGGGAAGGAATTCTTCCCTGGGAGGGTGGGCAGGGCCTGGCACAGGGTGCCCAGAGCAGACTCTAGATCCCTGGCAGCGTCCAAGGCCAGGCTTGAGGGGGCTTGGAGCAGCCTGGGACAGTGAAGGTGTCCCTGCCATGGCAGGGGGCAGATCTATGTGATCTTTAAGGTCCCTTTTAACCCAAACCATTTCATGAATTATGAAATAAGCATCTACGTTTCTTTTAGGAAACCCATTCCAGGAAAGGTATTCCTAAGTCACTGATTTCAACCAAAGATGGCAGAAGACAGAATATTGCTCTTTCACACAGTTCTCCTAGTTAACTTTGAGTCTGATTACATCAAAGCTGCCTTCAGCTACTCCCCCCATTCATTTCTGCAGCCTCCCCAGCCCTTTGGATGAAACTTTCCTCTGTTCCATCAGGCTATTTACTCTAATAAACAGCTGCTGCTGTTGGGATCCATTTGTTGCCTGTTGGGAACCAACAAACAGGGGAGACACAGTTGGGCCAAAGCCGATTCACAGCTTCAGATATGCAGCACAGTTTTCAGATAATTAAGAGTGCTGCTAATTAATTCTGTGTGCAGACCAGTGCCACAGGTTGTGATTGCCTGGGCCATGCTCTGTGGTGGCCGTGGCTTACAGACAATTGCATGAGAAGAACTCACATATTTGTGAAATGTCAGGAGATGCAGCCTGCAGCACTCGGAAGTATGGGGAAGTTAATCTTTAGATTTCTCCATCCTTCTGCACAGCTGCAAGTTCCAGGGGAATCCAAATGCACTCCCACCTCCACAGGCAAGAGAAGCAGGGCTATGGGGAGGTGTGAAGCTCAAGAATTGATAATTGGTAAACAAAAAACGTAAGGGAACTGTAGAAAAATTAGTTCCTGCCCAGGATGATGCTCCCTAAGGCTTTTTTCTCTCTCTCTCTGAGGAATCTCTCCTGAAGTTTTTGAGTGGTAGGAAAACACTTAAAACATGGCATTTCCAGGCAACTGCCCGCCCTGTAATCTGCATTAAACAGGGAAGGGATGCTGCTGGTGGGGAGGAGATGGAGTGGGCAGGGAAAGGACTGGGCTGTGAGGTCTGCAGGTGAAGCTGCCCCTGGCCCCTTGCAGCCTGGGCTGGGTCCCAGGAGCAGCACCGGAGCTTTTCCTCGGCCATCATGGCAAAGCAGGTGAGGCCAGAGCAGGGGCACTGCAGTGGCAGCACTGCAGACAGAGCCAGACAGGTTCTGAAGAAGAAACACTCCCCAAAAATTCCCTCAAGACCCAGCAGCCGTGCTGGTGTTGCCCACCACACTCCAAGGCAGCGCTTCAGACCCCCAGGGCACCGCTGGGACAATCCTTGTTACCTGTGGGAAACAAGGTGAGAGCTGAGGCAGGGTCGAGGTACTGACAGGGATAAGCAGCCCCAGGAATGTTTGACTCCAAAGGATTTTCTCACAGCTGAGGAGTTTGCAGCTGCCTCAGGGCAAAATCATTCTGAGGCTCTTGGGCAGCTGCACAGGAGGGAATTTGCAAGTGGATTTTTGGGGGATATGCCTTAAATCCCTGAGAGCTTAGTGCCAGAACATCTCTCAAGATCTTTGTGAATGTGCCTGGTGTCCTGCCAGGACAGAGCCCAGCAGATAAATATCTGGAACACAAATGTATTGCAGCAGGGAGGTGGCACTAAGCTGGTTTGTAGCTTCTTTGAAATATCAAAATAATATCACAGGGATAAAAAAATAGTTACTTTTAATGTGGGCTACTCCAGATTTGGAATTTTTAGCCACACTCACCATCAGTAACCCAGTGGGTGAGATTCCCAAAGTCTCCCTGCTCTGCACCCTTCTCTCTTTTTGCTGAGGGTCTGCAGACCCCCAGCCCCTCACCTCCTGTCCACAGCTGTCTTAGGCAAACCAGGCACCAAGGTTTGGAGGAGCTTGTGGAGCCGTTGTACCAGGGACCTGACACCTTCCAGCAGCCCCCACACCTTCTTCACCCTGCAAAAGCAAAGTACAGGGGCTGAGTTTAACAATGGCTGAAGGCAGCAAAAGGGGAGGGTGTTCATGGTAAATGCACACTGTAGTAATCACACATTCATGGTAAATGCACACTGTAGTAATCACACATTCATGGTAAATGCACACTATAATAATCTTTTCCATTAGCAAGAGATGCTGTGGCATTCCTGCCAGCCCCACCCGCTCTCCCTTGGATCTTGCCTTCAGGAAACACCAAATCCCTCCATGTGTCCCTTCAGCTGCCCCAGCACTGCTAAAGGCATGGCCCCTGGTTTGTGTGCCATTCCCTGATGCCTCTGTTGGGATGTTCTTACCCCTTCCTGAACAAGGCTGGGAGCCTGTATGGCTGCAGCAGGACCCTCGCCAGTGGGTCCTGCAGTCCATTCACCTGCTCCTTCTTCCACAAGCCTGCACCCAGGAGGGACAGCACAGAAGGAAATAAAGACCAGTAATTACAAACAATTTAATAAATGCAATAACTCCTCTTGCCCAGCTCAGGTAGGTACTGAAGCCCAGGCCAAACTCCAGCTGGAGTCACTTTTACAAAGTGTCTTTGAAATAGAAATATTTAATAAATAACTCAGTAATGTCTTAAATATAACCCTGCTGCTCTTGAAGGCTGCAGCAGCCCTAAAGCCAAGCTGAGCACCCCAAATCCTCTACCTGGCAGGAAGTAAGGGGTCAGGCACTGAGGGACCCTTTTGTACAGGCCGGGGTGTGTCCCATTGGATTTGCCAGAGTCATTCTTCCCACAGGTGCTGCCGAAGCGGAAATTGCCATCGAAGTAGTTAAAGCCAAAGGCATCTGGGAGACACAGAGAGAAGGGGTTGATGTTTGTCTGTGTCACACCAAGGTGCCCCTTGGGTCCTGGGGTGCCACTTACTGTTCCTGTACAGGAAAAGGGCCGTGTCCTGGTACCCCTGGGAGAAAATGTCATTCAAGACCTGCAAGGAAAAACACCTGAGGTCATTAGAGAGCCCTGATCCCAGTACTATAGGATCTATCCAAAGCTGTTTCACTGTGGAGGGTTGGGATGGCCCATTGGGGAAGGCAGCAAGCACTGGTTGGTTTCCAACCACTACAGCACCAGACAGAGAAACACAGAAAGAGTTGGGTTGGAAGGGACCTAGAGATCGCCTGGTTTTGTCTGGTCCTTTGCAGGTTGTGGACTCCATCCCAAGCTGGCCACCCATCATCAGTGTCCCTTCCCCAAAATGTACTGCAAAAACAGTGGGTGTTACCCTCTCCCTTTGAAATCCCATTAATTAACAGTGGAGAGTGAGCTGAACCTTAAATCTTGAGCAGGCAGGAGCAGCATTAATCTTTTCACCAGAACTAAGCTGGGAGAAGTCCTGGTGGTCTCACCATGGTGCTGGGCGGAAAGAGAGCATAGCTGATCCTGCACAGGTTCTCTATGGAGATCTGGATGCTGCCGTTGAAGATCTGGAAGCAGAAGAAGATGGCGGGGCAGTCGCGGGGGCAGATGTCCAGCTCGCCGGTGAACGGGGACACGGTGATCACGGGCTCCTCCAGGCTGGACACGGGCTGCAGGCCCGTGAAGCCTCCGTCCACGTAGCGCTGGGGACGAGCAGAGGGATGCACAGACATCTTTTATGAAAAACCCTTTTGCTAGGATTTTCCTCCTGAGAAGCTGAGAGGCCTCAGAAACGAAAGGTAAACAATAATTATCTGCTGCTGTGGAATGCAACAGGTGCATCTGTGATTGGTCTCATGGGGTTGTTTTTAATTAATGGCCAATCACAGCCCAGCTGTCTCAGAGTCTCTGGTCAGTCACAAGATGTTATTATCATTCCATTCTTTTTCCTTGCTAGCCTTCTGATGAAATCTTTTCTTCTATTCTTTTGGTATAGTTTTTACACCAAAACTATATTTATAATATAATATAATATAATATAATATAATATAATATAATATAATATAATATAATATAATATAATATAATATAATATAATATAATATAATATAATATAATATAATATAATATAATATAATATAATATAATATAACATAATATAACATAATATAACATAACATAATGTAATGTAATATAATATAGTATGATATAATATAACATAATATAATATAATTTATATACATATTATATATTATATATTATATATTATATATTATATATTATATATTATATATTTTATATTTTATATTTTATATTTTATATTTTATATTTTATATTATTATATATTGTATTTTTATATTTTTATATATGTATATATACACATCCTTTCCTTTTAATATAATATATATCATAAAATAATAAATCAGCCTTCTGAAACATGGAGTCAAGATTCTCATCTCATCCTGCAAACACCGCCACAGAGGGAGGGTTTGCTCTGGGGGCCTTTGCAGTGTCCCTGAGTTGGGAGCCAGCAGCTGCACAGGTGACACTCCTGTCGTGAGCCCATCCCAGCTTGTCCTCCCTTCCCACTTCCAACAGCGTCTTGTCCCACCTGTGCTCTTTATCCCTTTGCCAGCTCCTTCCCCTGCCCTGCCTGTGGCACCCAGCCAGCTCCTCGACCAGGTCTGTAATTCACAGCAGTTATTAAAATGGAAATATAATTATTTTCATTCACAAAGATTTGTACAACAATTTTTGGCAGTCAAGAGCCAATTCAGATATCACTGAATGCACCGTGTTGTATAAGTTTCAAGTCCTGAGCTTGAGCAGCAGGGCCCCCACGTTTAATAATTGCCTGCAGATTCATGAGGGATTACATACTGGGCAAGGAAAATGTCAATTGCTCTATTCCAAAAGGAATCTGGATTTACCACCTCCCTTAGTGGGATTGGAAGTCACAGCTGATGGAATTAAATGTTGCTGAAATAACTGTGCAGAGAGGCCTCACAGAGCAATCACAGACCTGGGGATGGGTTGGGTTGGAAGGGACCTCAAAGCTCATTTCATTCCACCCCCTGCCATGGGCAGGGACACCTTCCACTACCCCAGGTTGCTCCAAGCCACGTCCAACCTGGCCTTGGACATTTCCAGGCACCTTAGAGACCCCAAAGGGGCTGCAAGAGAGTTGGAGTGACAGGACAAGAGGCAATGGCTTCTCACTGCCATTAGGGTTAGATGGAATATTGTGAAGAAATCTTTTCCTGTGAGGATGGTGAGGCCCTGCACAGGTTGCCCAGAAAACACTGGAAAACACTGCCACTGGAAAACACTGCCACTGGAAAACACTGCCACTGGAAAACACTGCCGAGCTCCTCCTTCCCCTCCCTCAGACAGGCAGAGCATGGAAATGCTCCGGGCTGGGGGAGGATCCTCTGGACTCTGGATGTCTCAGCTGTGCAAGTCAGCACCTGAGCCGAGGGATGAACCTGCCCTGCAGCCAAGCCCTGCCCAGGATAACTGGATTGTGTCTCAAAGTCCCCACTGTGGGCGTCCTCTTATCTCACTCAGAGATCTGCAAGGTCATCCACAGTCTGTCCATGGGCAAAGCAGGAGAGGGCTCTCCAGATGGCAATTCCACCCAGCTGTCATCTTAGGAGGTGGTGAAGAATAAGCTGATGGGCTTCATGATCCTCCATCAACTAAAGGAAATGCCTGGACACACCTATCCCTCCCTGTCTGTACATTCCTCCTTTACAGAGGAATGTAAACCTCAAATCAAGAACACCCTGCTGGGAGTGTGTGTTTCAGTGGAAATATTACTCACCACTCCTCGGTAGGATGGAGGGATGAATCCACAGTAAATTGGAAGAAAGCAGCTGCAGAGGAGAGCCTGGGGAAGAGAGGGATTGCAGAAGTCAATGTTCCTGTGAGTGTTCTGCACAAAAGCTGTTGACATGGGGCCTGAAAATTCAGCCTTGACAAAGTCTGGACCCAGGCTGTTGGTGCCACCTGGACTTTGCTGGGGACTATGGCAAGAAAGGCTTCAAGAAAGGGAAAACATCTGATTTCACTGAAGTGGAAACACTTCTCTAGAGCAGGGCACAACACTGCATTTTTTCAATTTTATAGCTGCCAGAATTAATAGTTGTAAATCTACATGTCCGTGTCCAACACTGCCCTTTGATGGTGGCAAGCTGAAGCTTTGGGGCCAATTTCCATCTTTGCAGGTTTTTGGACAAAACCAAGACACCCTTACAAGGTATCCTCACCCTGCTGGGATTTGTCAGTGTTAAAGCCACTTCTGGAACATTTGGAATAATTTCCCACCCAATCTCATCAGCTGGGAATGAGCACCCCAGGCTCCTTGGGGCACCATGGGGTCAACTCCAACACCTCCATGGGGCTGCCATCCTCTACTGTCTCCCTGGGACAAGGGACCCAGGACCTCAGGGTCAGCTCTGTTAGGACTTTACCCTGGGATTCTCCCCCTCAGCAGATAATTTACTGGTAGATGAGCTGCTTGTTGTTCAGCAGCAGCTTTGTCCAGTTTTTTCCTCCCAGGAAGGTGCTGAGGCAACAAGAAAACCATTGCCAGATGGCTGAGGAGAGACCTGTAGGGAGAGCTGAGAGGTCACATCAGCACTGACAGGGCTCTTTGCAAAGTCACTATTAGAGCCCCAACATCAGCTCTATGAGGCTGGAAACAAACCTGCTGCTTTTTTTAGCATGATTTGTTCCACCTGATCCTGGAACTCAAACCTTCCTCCCCACTCCCAGGCTCATGGAGCCCATTGTGGTGGGACCATGGCTGTGGCAGAACCTCCCGACTCTCCCCATCTCAGGTAGAAAAAGTGCAGTTGAAGCCACCAGCACTTGGGACATGTCCATATTCAGGTCTGTGTACCTGAATGAGCTCCTCCTTGGAGCTGAACTCCGAGGCCATGACGTTCTGGCCGTCCACCACCCGTGTCAGTGAGATGTGCAGCCTCCCCGAGGCCAGCAGGTAGGAATCCTCCGGCAGCATCCGCTGCAGGACAGTCTTGAGATTGGCCAGCAAGCTGCACTTGGGAGAGAGGGGGCCCAGGATGGTTTTCCTGACTTCTGTTGCCAGTGCAAAGAAAAACTCCTTGATGTCATCTGAGAGAAGATGAGAAGGTCAATACGCCTGCTGCACTAACAGTTATATTTTAAATCTTATTTTTAACACTCCTCACAAATAAAGTTTCTTGCAGCCCCTCTGTGTTACCCCAGGATGACACTGCTGCTACAGTGGGGGACGTTGAGGTAGGGCAGAAAGTGGGGCATGATCCCCATAATGTCCTCAAAGGACACCGTGTCTTTGTGTGACCCCACTGGTGAAATCCCCACCTGCACCAGAGATGGGGCCTCAAGAAGTTCCTGGTCTGGATTAGGGAAAGGCTCCAGAGAGCCCCAGGAAGGGGGACACTGAGTTATCCATGACAACCTGACTTGCACAACACATTCCTGCTTTCCACCTCCCATTTCCCACGTGGGCAGCCCCAGCTTTACAGGGAGCTGGGCCAGCTCCTGGGTGGGGATGAGGGGCACCTCTTCTGCTCAGGGCTTTCCTGCAAGCCAGGTGTCCTGGCTCCACATTTCTGGGATTCCTGGCTCACCTGAGCTCTGGGGAGGTGTTAATAGCCATGACATGTGTCTGCACATCCCAGGAGCTGGGTTAAAGGAGCAGAGCCTTGGAGCCCTGGCTGAGGGCTCAGGAGACTCCAGGTTTTAAAGGTTTCACAGTGATGGGGAGGAGGAGGAGTGCAGCAAATCCTGCAGGCAGCCTGATACCATAGAGGGAATTTGGTGCCTTTGCTGGCATGGAGATCTGACCTGGGGGAACATCCCACCTGGAGGGTTAAACCCTTGCAGTGAAAGCTTATCCAGCACCAAAGCTGCAAAGAGTTGTCCTTGCACCCAGGGTGGGACCCTGCACCAGCATGAGGCCCTGGGCCTGGCCCAGCACCAAGGCTTTGCAGGGGCAGAGGTTTCTGTGCGGTCTCAGGGGATTGTGTGGACGGACAGACGGATTAGGTGCAGTGTCCTGAGGGCAACTGGAGCCACACAGGCGTTAAGAGGGGTTATGTGTGTTTGAGCAGATGCTGAGGCCACACGGGGCCACGATTAACACTGGGTGGGTTTGCACAGAGGGGATGCTGAAAGAGCCAGACCTCCAGGGAGGAGGGGCATGCCCAGGTCCCTGTCTGGCTGCTCTGTGTCCTGGAAATGGGGGAAAACATGGAAAAACTGCCCACAAGCTGCTGGGTAAGAGGTGAGAGCCGAGCGCAGCTTTGCAGAGCAAGTGAAGGATGAGCCTGGCAGCAACGTGACTGTCCCTGCCTGCACCAGCCTGGTGACAAGCATGTCCCCACGAGGGGACTGTGGGGTCACAGAGGACAGGCTGGCTCTGGGAGCCCAGAGCTCCTCAGCCAGCCTGGGGCAGGGGACAGGGACCTGACTGCAGCCACCCTGTGGGACACCAAACACACCTTTCACCTCCTTCCCGACCCAGTCATCCTCGTTATGACCATGACAGAGCTTGTGCCAAATTCATTTTCCTTGTTAGAAACCTGACCAGAGTTATCACTGTCCAAAGTGTCTTTTTCTTCTTCTGGGGAAGATATTTTGGGCACAAGATCATCTCAGCCCCTCTAAGTGGATGCTGCCTTCCATCTCCAGGGAAGCAGATGCCCAGTTCAGGACTGGTGCCCCTACCAAGAGCAGTTGCTGAATGTATTTTTACTGCTGGACAGCCCTAGCTCCATCCATTACAGCAGCAGGAGGAATCAGAAATTTTGGGGCCCTTGCTTATTTGTGGAGGAGTTCATCCCCACGTGGGCAGAAATGTTCCTTTCTGCCTTATCTAAACATATTTGCCAATGTTTTTAATTATTTTTAGCTGCAGAAGAACAGTTCCAGCATCCACCAGAGGTTTCAAGAACTGTATGTTTCCTCCCAGCTTCCTCCATCATTATTTGGTCCCCAAAACCTTCTGCTCCTCCTAAATGTCCCCATTGCTTGAAGCAGAACTTGGATCAGGCTTTAGAGTCTTAAGTCTTGTGTACACTTGTTTACACATGGGCACTAATTGGAAATATGGGAGGATGTGATTATTAAAAGTGGATTAACTACTCTGAATTAATTCTACACATGGAGGATCTTGTTGCTGGAGGGCCCTGTTTCCACATGGTTGAAAGAGGGTCAGAGGAAAACCCCTTTAGCAGCAATAAGAGAAATTCCAGCCCTGGGCTGGAGCAGGCTGCTGTTTTTCCAGGAATATCCTGCTGGAGCAACAGGGAAAGGTGCACCTGGAGTTGGGAATCTCCCCTTGTTCTGGCAAGGCTGAGTGGGATCAGCCAAAGTGGCATGCAAACAAGGCTGCCAGCTCTATAGATACCTGTGTGGCAGCCACTCGTGTCCCTTCATAGCTCCACATCCCAAGAAACCTGATCCACGGGGAAAAGAGGGCATTCCATGGGTGAATCCAGCCCCTGGGGCTGCACTGACTGCCTTTGGGACACACCTCAGCCCCCCTCAGACCTCAGAGCAGAAGGGCAGGGGATCTGCTCCTCCAGCAGGAGCGGGAAAAGGAGCCAGTGGAGAATGGGATATGGAATGCCAGGTACATCCAGATCTGCCCCTGTGATTCCTGCCCACTGAGCCGGGGAACACGCGGGCTGTCAGAACCGGCTTTTTCAGCTTACACCTCCCAAAACTGCACCGTGCTGCCTGCCAAGGTGGCAACACCTTGGCTTTCTGTAATGCCTGGTGAGCCAGGAGAGTTCCACCAGCCCCAGCACCCCCCAGCACCCCGAGGCACCTCCCCAGGGCTCATGGAGCAGGAGAGCTTCTGGAAGGACTCGAGGCCGGGCTGTTCTTACCGAGGCCAACGCCGCACACGACGGCAGCAGCGATGATCGACCCGGCCGAGGAGCCGTAGACCTTGCAGGCAGACTTGAGGAGCTCAGGAGCCAACTCCAGCAGGGACTGCACCACCCCAACCTGGTACAGGGCCAGGAAGCCACTGCCCGAAAAGGAGAGAGAGAAAGGGGTGCTGGAAGCCCGGAGATCCTCCACAGCCATCTCAGGATCACAGCAGCAGATCTGGCTCGAGGTCTCGGGGTTGTCCTTTTTCACCAGGTGAACCTCAGGCTGTCTTCTCCTCTGCTGCCTCCAGGCTCATCTCTAGCTGCAGAGGAGTCCAGAAGACGGATTTTCTGCCTCCTTTTATGACAGCTCCCCGAGGCGTTGAGATTCGCGAGCTATTTTAATTGCTGCCTGTGCTAAAAACAGAAATTTTCCCCTGATCAAAACAGCTCTTATAATCCTCAACCACAGCCAGCTCAGATGCTCAGGGCTGATTCAGGGCTCCCCTCTCATGCCAACGGGTCTGCAGTGCCCCAGGAGTCCTCCCAGAGAGGGTCCTGGTGCTATTGTGCCCGTCACACTTGGGAACATCCGTGCAAAAATTCCTCTTTGCTTTATCCTTTCTTCATCAAAGGGTGTTTTCCTAAATTGGATTCTCTATCAATCCCAGCTTAGGCACAGCTCAGTACTGACTGAGTAAAGGCTTGTATAAGACACTTAAAGCCAGAGGGTGTTACACAAGGGGTGGATACAGGGCGTTACGTTGGGTTAGGTTTGGAAATATTCCTTAAGTTTGCTCCCTGTTGGAAGGGTTTTGCCCTTGCCTGACCCTTGGACATTGTTTGCATCAGGAAAAAACCAAAGACCTGGATTTGCTTTTCTCTCCCCTCTCAATAAGGCCCTACAGCAGCACCACGTTGCCCAAACCTGTGGTTATTGAACCAGAATCAAGCTGCCTTTGAACTGTCTGCATTGCCTGGGGGATACTTATAAAACCAGGGAGAAATGCCATAGATTTCTTGTCTTTTCTAATGATCCAATGCTGCTGCCAACATACAGAACAAAAATTGCCATTTTAACAGATGTATTTATTAAGTACTGGTAAATATTGTGTCGTTTCTGTTGTCCAAATCCACAGGGCTGCACACTGAGAGGAAACATTCCGTGGGTTAGAATTAGGGCTGTGTATACAACACAACATGTGGGTAAAGAACAAGGCTCTCCTTCCCTGTGTCCATGCACCAGCCTGGCCAAAACAGCACAGCATGGTCCCAGCATCCTGATACCACCTTTGCAGTGCTGTTTCATCCCAAATTTTCATACATTTTTCCCTGCCTTCCCCAGCCATGACCGCATCCCCAAGACAGGAATTGGAGCAGAGTCCCCACACTGACATGCAAAATGTCCCTGGGTTGAAATGTCACCAGGAGCAGCAGGTGGACATGGCCTGGAACCCCCCAGGTAAATGTCACAGCATGGCCAGGGCTGGTCTCTGGTGCTCCCTGCATGTCAGGACACCCAGGAGGAGGTTGCCAGTTCCAGGATATATTTAATTATGAATGGAATTATCCTGGAGGTGAACAAATGCCTGAATCAGGGCTTCTAGATCCACAGCCTTACTGGAACCCTTAATTTCTTGTCTTTCCAGTGTCTGGTGTTTCTCATGATCCCCTTGCTGGGTGAGTCTCCCACACACCCCAGCCTCTGCACCAGCCTCCTGGAGATATCAAAGCTTTGATCTGTGTGATTCATGCCACTGTCTCCTCCAGCCCTTGGGAAAGCAAATCCCTTCATTTAAAGGATTTTCTTCCAGCACTGGCAAGTTCATGAAGGACAAAACTATCACCTGTTGCTGTGACTGGTCCAGACACGCCAGGGCACTGGAAGTGCAGAGGGTTTGTGTGCTGGAGTGAGTTGTTCCCATGTTCCCTGGGCATTGACTGTTCCTATTGTTTGCCTCAGGCCCCCGGGGGCTCCATCAGGCTCTGCATAAAGAGCTGTAGGATGCTCCTGCTTCACTCCTTGCACCTCCTCAGCCCTGCCCAGCCCTGACTGCCAAGGTGTGACCGTGTTCACAGGGGTCCCAGGATGAGGGAAGAACGAGGATCTGACTCCCATGTTTCAGAAGGCTTGATTTATTATTTTATGATATATATTATATTAAAACTATAGTGAAAGAATAGAAGAAAGGATTTCTACAGAAGGCTGGCTAAGAATAGAAAAAGAAGGAATCATAACAAAGGCTTGTGGCTCGGACTCTCTGTCTGAGCTATCTGGGCTGTGATTGGCCATTAATTAGAAACAACTAACATGGGCTAATCAAAGATCTACCTGTTGCATTCCATAGCAGCAGATAATCATTGTTTACATTTTGTTCTTGAGGCCTCTCAGCTTCTCAGAAGGAAAAATCCTAAGAAAAGGATTTTCCATAAAAGATGTCTGCACAGCCAAGGTTTAGGAAAGGTATAAATGATCCCATGGGAGCTGTGGGAACACATTCCCCTGTCCACACTCAGCTTTGTCCTGCACTCAGTCATGGGGGCTTCTCCAGCAGGGCCAAGGTGCCCAATCTCCCCTGCACCCTCCCCAGCTGCCAGCACCCCAGCCCAGGACAGCATCCAGGAGGCATCATCCTGCCTGGCTCAGTCCCATGCTCCTGTGAGATGAAACCTTGTCATCATCCTCTTAGTGACAGCAAATTTTGCATTAATTGGCTCATTAAGTGCCAGCTGATTGTCTAAGCTGCCCTCCCCGCCCAAGCGCTCCAAAGCAGGATTAGTGGGGCCTGACGGCTTTGGGGACACAGGATCCCCCAGCAGCCTGGGATGCTCTGGGGAGAAAGCCCCCGGCTCCCATGAGCCCTGGGTGGGCTGGGGGCTGTGCAGGGCTGTGTTTTGCCTGGGCAGGATCATCTGCATGCCCAGATGGCCGTGGCTGTGAGCTGGGGATTTCGTGCGAGGCGATTGTCATCGCTGAGGGAAGCCACCACGGGGTGTTTAGGGCAGGATGAAGGTAATGCCAAGAGCTGGAAACGGCTCAAACCCCCAGGACTAATAACTTGCCCTTCTTTAAAACCTTCTTAATATCTTCAGTGGTCACAGGCAGCCAGGTCCCAATTTTATAAGCAGGAGATTAAGCCAAGGTGCTGGAATTGCTCATGGGAAGGGACCTGGGCTCCAAAAGCCACAGCCCTGGGGTGCTGCACTAAGGTAGCTGTGGCTGGTCCCAACTTCTTCCCACCATGCCCAGCTGGAGCAGCATCCCTGCACACTGGGTTGGGTTTTTTGGGAGCCTCTTGTGCAAGGGGCTGGGCAGGTTTGGCTCCTTGTTCCCCCAGCACAGCTGCCCCGCTGGGTGGGAAAAGGTCCAGTGAGCAGAGAAGGAGAGGGTTTGGTTCAGCTGTGGTATAGGGCACAGCACAGGACAAGGGAATGGGAGTTTCCCTGTCTGATGTCTCACCTGGCAGGTGCATCCCACGTGCTGATGGAAGATGATAACCTCTGGGACAGAGACTATTTGACTTTCCACTGGGAAGTCCATGAGGAGACAGAGACCTTTTCTGCTCCATGCAAATCCCAACCCATCCCTGACCCAGCAGGGGGGTCAGATGCAAAAGAAATTTGGATACAGGGGCATCCTGTGACCTTGTAACCACATCCCCAGCAGCAGCTCACCCGGGCCTGCTCCCAGCCCAGCAGAGCCCCACGGGTGTGGGCAGGGAACGGGAATGTCGGGGCTGTTGCAAACAGACGAGGGCGGTTTCAGTCTCTCCCACAGTAAAATCTCCTGGGTTGGTTCCCAGCCAAAAGGAATCACAGTGCTGATGCTGCACTCATTGCTGGCAGGAGCCAGGAGTGGGATTTAAGGTTTTCCACACTCTAATTACCCCAGGCTGAATTAGATGGAGCCCTGCAAGGTGTCCCCCTTCCCTCAGCAGCTGGTGACTCAATGCTGTGGCTGTCAAACAGCCCTGAAGGCTCTGGGGACATGGATTGGGGTGGGGAAGGGCTGCTTCTGTCCTGTGAGGGCTCTGCTTCCCCTTTTTCATTTACTTTGGGTTTTACAAGGACCAAGGAGGTCAGATCCTCCAGGAGAGGAGGTGCTGGGCAAAGCTGGGCTGTCACCAGCGGCCCATGGGGGATTGTCACCCCAAACGTGGCAGTGACACACAGCCACACGTTTGTTTGCCACCACCATCACCTTCAACCCACCAGAGCATCCCCCCTGCACATTGCAAACCCCAAAACTTCATCTCCTTCACCCCAGGCCAGCTCCACCCTTGCAGAGGAGATGCTCCACACCGAGCCCTGGCAACCCCCCAGCCCAGCCCAGAGCTGCCCTAATCCATGGCCCTGCTTAGGGGTTCTGGGCCAAGATTAGCTGGAAACATTCCCAGTGATTAGGGCTTAAATCGCTTTGGCATTTCACATCTTCTTAGAGTCATAGGTGAGACCCCAGCAGCTGTAAATCCCCTCAGCCCCTGAGGATGTCACAGCTCCTGCACCACTTGGGAATGAGCTTTACCCAGTTCTTGGTGTCAGATCAAGCTGTTCTGGGTAGTAAATCTCCTTCTGCTGGAAAGGGAAGGCCTATAAATTGTAAAAATGGCAGGACAACACTGTGTATCTGCTCTCAGAGTCCCTTGTGCCACTTGGAATTTGGCTGGAAAGGAGCAGCCCACAGCAGCTGGAGCAAAGCAAACATTATTCCATCTATAACACAACTCCCAGGAGACAAGCCTGGCTGGCATTTAGGCACCAATTTATTTGAGTTTTAGAATTTTTTTTCAAACTGAATCCTTGGCTGGTAGAAGAAACTACAAAAATTATGTTGTACATTCACAAAAACATTTAGAAAAGCAGGTAAATAAATACATATGCACAAACAGCAACAACCCCTGAGGTTCAACACAAGCACTTGGCAGGAGGTAAAATACAAATACAGGGTGAAATGTGGGCTCTGTTTGATTTACTGACTTTTCACCCCCAGCCAGGTGGGGTTCAAGCATTTCACAGTGCTGGTTCTCCTGAAAAGATTTTAAATCCACAGCTCAGAAGGTTACCCCACATCCAGGTCACCATCAGGGATTGTCCTCCCACCACAAATGTTCATCCTTGGCTTCCCAGGCACCACAGTGTCCGCTGTCAGTCTGGGCTGTCACAGTGGTCTGTCCTGAGCTTTTCTCTCTTCTGCTGAGACAGAAGGAAACATTCTTAGGATCATGGAATACTTTGGGAGGGACTGTCACCGTTGAGACAGCCACAATACACAGAGTATCACCATACAATGCCAGAAGGCTTCAAGCATCAGCTCTGCTTGTTCTTTAGCCCAGCCTTTTACACCCTCATGTTCATGCATTGCACTGTGTGCCCTGGGTTCCCTCTGTGGTTGCTCAGCACACCTGGGCACTCCACAGCTCAGTGCTGTCAGTGCTGCTCACCTGCTTCTCACAGCTGCACCCACTGGGGATGGGGCTGGGCCAGCCCCACTCCCAATCACCCCAAACTCTGCCTACAAGGGACCTTTAAAGCTCATCCATTCCCACCCTGCCATGGGCAGGGGCACCTTCCACTACCCCAGGTTGCTCCAAGCCTTGTCCTGGAACACTCCCACAGATGGGCAGCCATGGCTTCCTGGGGCACTTGCCCAAACTTGCTGCTGGGAGCTCAGCCCCAGGCTCACCCTCCTCCTCCTCCTCCTCCTCCTCCTCCTCCTCCTCCTCCTCCTCCTCACCTGCAGAATTTTGCCGTAGGGTGCAAAGGAATCGTCCAGGTAGCGGGTGCCGAAGCCCATGATCCTGTTCACTGCCTGGCTGCAGATCCCCGCCACCGTGGCCGTGAGATGGACCGTGTAGGCAAACTGGATCTCCTGGAGGTCCACGTTGGGCCTGCTGGCTGTCAGCTCCCTCTGCACGTAGGCATCAGCCAGGTTCTTGAAGGAGCTGTAGGACATGTCCCTGAAGAAGAGCTGCAGCCGCGCGTCCTCCCTCACCTGGGGGGGAGACAGGCACGTGGTGAGGGAAGGGCTCTGTGTGCCACCCTCATGGTGACACCTTCAGCTGGCAGAGTGTGGGAATGCACAAAATCAGAGGGGTTTGGGAAAGCTGCAAAAGGCCTCAGAGACAGCAGAACTGGGATTGGAGCTAAGCAGCAGCCATGGGATTGGTCAGCAGAAAAAGAATTTGAAAAGTAGAAAAGCAAGGACAAATAGAACAATGGTCTGTGTATTAACACTTGTCTAGAATAACTCCCTAAGCTACAGAGAAGTTTATCTAGCAAGATATTAGGAAGGTTGAAGCTTAATCATGGAGCTCTGTGCATTGTGTTTTAAGGCTCACAAGCAGGTATTATATTCAAAATAGGCAAGCATTGTTTTAACCAAAGGGATGTATGCTTATAGTGGTGGATAGAACTGCTGTCAATGTGCTTTTGCTTTGTGGGATTGGTCAAAAAACTTATAAAGTGAATTGTAACATTGAGTTCTTGGTCTGCTGCCTGGGATGGGAGCTGGTGGCATCTTCCCATTGTCATAACCATGGAATGAGGCTGATGCTGGAAAATAAAACAGCTCAAGGCAGTTCCTAACAGTCCCATCCCATTTGTGATTTGTACACAGCCCCCAGCTGGCGATAGCAGAGGACAGACAGCCAGGCACAATCACACCCAGGCAAGGAATTAAAAGTTGGCATTTTCTGATTTTTCTGAGTGTTTTCCTGCTCCAGGGAAATCAGTGGTGTTGCTGTATTTATTTTACAGCAGTGCAGAGCTTGGCCCAGATCCCTCAGCCCCATCCAGCTGCCCACAGCTCTCTCACCTCCCTGTCCAGCTCATCTCCTGCACTCCGGAGCAGAGCAACAATTCTCTTGATGGCTTCATCTGTAGAGACAGACACCAGCTTATCTCCAGCCCTTTCTCCAAGCCTCATCCAGATGTTTTAGTCCCCACAAAAAATTCCTTGAACGATGTTTATCCACGTCCATCCTTCCAAAACCCATTTCAGCCTATTGCCACATGCCTTGTTACCCTCAGTCAGCAAAAATACTCTCTTACCCCTGAATTTTGTCTTTTTTGTGGTCTAGTGGAAGGTGTCTCTGCCCATGGCAGGGGGGCTGGAATGGGGTGTTCTTTAAAGTCCTTTCCAACCCAAAACCCATTCTGGGATTCTGTGAATCTCCCTCTCCCCCAACCAAACCCTGATGCAGAAAACCTCCCACATCCAGCTCTTGGGGTCACAAAAGCCCCAGGACCAGGCCTGAGGCAGGGGTGGATGCCATGCAGGCTCTGCAGGGAACAAGCCTTGCCCACATTGTTTCCAACACTCACCAACCCCGTCGGTGCTGGGGGGCTCTGGGGGCTCCCCACACCCTCCTGCAGTGTCCCCCTGGCTCTCTCTGCCCTGCACGACCTCCTGGGGCACCTGGGTGTAGCATCCATCGGGCTGCTCTGCCTCTGCTGGGACACAAACACAGAGCCAGCAGTGAGGGTTGGTTCTGACGGGGCAAAGCCACCATGGGAGCGGGGCCCACCCCGGATCAGCGCATTCCAAAGGTGGAGGAAGCAGCTGTGACCTGCCCTGAATCCAGCAGAGCTCCTCAGGAATCCCCTGGGCAGGGTTTTGGCACGGGAAGGGCTGGGCTGGGGATGGTGTCCCGCGGGCTTTGCCTGCACCCAGCCCCAAGGCAAACCTCAAGCAGCTTCACGTTGGCCTTAGAGCGGCTTGGGATCTAATCTCAGGTCTCAGATGCAGGTTTTAACTAAACCACGGTGACCCCTGGTTGTCAGAGGAGGAAAGCTCATGCTTGGTTGATAACTGCCCACAGCTGACTTGGGGTGACTGTGCTCAAAGAAGCATGGGCAGAACAACCCTTCCTGAGGCAGCAGGTTGGGGTTGGAGCCTCCAAAACCCATCCCAGGCCCCAGAAAACCCTGGGAGGGGGTTAGGAACCAGCACTGAACACCATGGCAGGCCCCAGAGAAGCCCAGCAGGGTCCTGCTGGCAGCAGGGGTGGGTCAGGGCTGGGCTGGGTCAGGTTGGGCTGGGGCCCCACTGGCAGCAGGGGAGGGTCAGGGCTGGGCTGGGTCAGGTTGGGCTGGGTCAGGGTTGGGCTGGGGTCCCACTGGCAGCAGGGGTGGGTAAAGGTTGGGTTGGGGTCCCACTGGCAGCAGGGCTGGGTCAGGTTGGGCTGGGTCAGGGCTGGGCTGGGTCAGGTTGGGTTGGGTCAGGGTTGGGCTGGGGTCAGGTTGGGCTGGGGTCCCACCTGGCTGGGCTGGGGCCAGCACGTGCCGCAGAGGAAGGCAGCTGGGCCGTTTGCTCCTGGGCCCAGATCCCGGCTCCTCCTCCCCGTGCTTCTTCAGGGAGAAAACCTTCTTGAGGCTGGGTTTCTTCTTCAGGGCTCTGCCCAGCGCTGGGGATGTGCTGGAGTCCACTCTGTGTTTTTTGGCTCCTTCTGGTTTGGAGCCCTGAGGAGCTTTGACATCTTTCTCCTTTGCTTTTTGCCCTGTGTTTTCCTTCTGGTCCTCAGGGCTCTTCTTCACGAAGAGGTTTAGGAAACCTTTCAGCCAGGCTGGTTTTGAGCCCGAGCGCTGTGGTTTGCCCTGGGAAGAGTTTTTTCTGCTTTTCCTCTTGGCTTTCAGCCCCTCTTTAGGCACCTCCTGGGGAGCTTTGCTGTCATCACCCAAAGTCTCCTCCAGGTCTGGTGCTTTGAGTCTCTCCTCCTGGTCCTTCCTGGGGCTGGGTTTGGCACATGAGTAGGTGTAGAAATCACTTTCTGACCGTTGTAGCCCGTCTGTTTTCCTCCCTCGCCCTCTGTCCTTCTCCTGAAGGGGTTTTTTGGCCACCAGTGAGTTTTCATGGCAGCTCAGTGAGCGCTTGACATAAATCTCCAGCACTTTCTTGGCCTCTCTCCTGTCCAGAGAGAGGATCTTGCCCAACGGCTGCCCCCCTACATCCCACTGGGACATCTCCTCAGCTGGAGCCCGAGTGTTGCTGTGGAGAAAAACAACATTTTCAGTCTGGATTTTGCCTTCCCCAGTCGGGTTGGGCCGGATGGGAACCTCCCCCATGCTGGCACGCAGGGTGCTGCGGGTGTCTGGGGTTGTTAACGCTCCTGGTTAATGATCAGTCAGTTTTATGGTCATTATCTGAGTGCTCCTGATGCAGATGGCCCACATGGGGTTTTATAAACACAGACTCATTGGTAAAGGAACCGAAACTGTGGAGAGGGGGGAGATGGGCTGGGCATGTCCTAGAGGAGGAGCCTGGTCATCACCCAGGGGGCTTTGTCCAACAAGGACATCACCCAGACACCCCCCGTTATCCCATGGCAACATGTTCCCACAGGAACATGAAAAGCCACACCCCAGGAGCACCCAGTGAGCCACAGAACCCAGAATTTAGGGCATTTCCCCTTAAAGTATTGGCTGATAAAAATCATTCCAGCCCCTGGAGAGGCCAAGGGATGTGGGCTCCTGCAGGTGGCCTTGGTCACTTTGTGATGACACCGCACTTCTGTGAGCAGTGCAGGGCTGGGAAAGGAGCTCAGAGCACCAATCCCTGCCTTTCCCACCACCCTTTTTCTCTACATTTATAAGCAAAATTCAACCAAAGACACTGCTCTTGGAAAACCAGAGAGCCAGGATGGTGCCTTGTGCTGGTTTTACCTCTATAACCAATTTTACCCTTCAAAGAACCAGACCCAAACCAGACTTCTCCACCCCTGAACAGCACACGGGGAACCAGCACCAAAATCTGGCACCCTTGGCTGTACAAAGCACCCTGGAGTTGGGAATCAGCCTCTGCTCAGACCCAAAGACCATCACCACAACACACAGCACACCCACCCACCCCACCTCACCCTGCTTTTGGGATCAGAAAATCAGCTCCCTTCATCCAAGCCAACACCAAAGCCCACCAAACCCTCAATAAAAAACCACCCCACTAAATTTAATCACAGCAAAGCCACAACCCCCATCCTACTTTGATTGATTCCAGTACCTTGACCACAGCATTGGTGATTTGCTGGGTTGGTTTTTACCTTTCCATCATTATTTCTGCTCCTTTGGACACCGCTCAAGACGAGCTCCTGGGCCACGGGTGCTGAGGGATCCCAGGCTCTCCTGGGAGGTGCCTTTTTATACCCTGGTGGTGAGTTCAGTCCTATTTTTAGCAGCCATTCAGGTAGGAGAGCAGCCAAGGCTTCCCTGCTATCACCGCCCTCGTGGTGCAGATCAACGGGCGTGAGTTTCGCTGGAGGAGAAAGCAACTTCCTTATGACAAGTAGCAGCAAAACAACACAGGATCACCTGCCACCTGGTGTAAGCACTGCCCTTTGAGACCAGCTATCTCAGGCAGCTGTTTGCCTTTGGGTTTGGTTTGGTTTGTTGTTTTGTACTGGGTGTGATGCCCGAAATGGGCTCCTCTGGGTTGTGTCTGTGAGGGGAACTCACAACTTTCTCAGACGAGCAGGGTCTCAGTGCAGGAAGCCAAGTGCCCTGCTCGCAGCTCCTGGGGGCCACAGGCGCTCTGGGACACGGCAATGTCAGGCTCCTGCACATCCCTGAAACGCCCCCTGGGCTCCTTCAGACAGCCCATCCTTCCACCCTAAAACACGAACCAGCTCTTGCCCCAAATCCTTCCCACTCAGCCTCACCCAGGGATAGAAAATCTCCCACCAGGCAGATCTGCCCGGCCCAACGCCCACAAACTGCGCCCAGAGCGAGCAAATCTGACCCCAAAGCTCCGTTTGGCCAGCCCAGTGCCCCCTGCCGTGGCTGTGGCATCCTCCGGCAGGTGCTTCCCACTGTTCCCCATCGCTGCTTTGCCATCTGATGGCAAAATTCCGCACTGCAGCTCGCAGGGATGGGGCGGCAGACACGCAGGCTTTGGAAATCCCCGTTTTGGAAAACCCCTGGGGAATGTTTCCGCCGGGGCAGAGCTGTTGTCAGCTGGAATTGATGTTCAGCCTTGTGTTTCCTGCATAAAAATTTTCTTTTCCTGATACAGAGTTCAGCTTGCACTCAGGACTGTTTTATTTCTCTTTCTATAAACTCTCTGTGCTGTAATTTCCTGTGGCTGGGAGAGATCCAGACCATGTCCCTTCATTTCTCCTGAGCCCACACGGCTGAATCAGAGTCTGGTATTGATCAGGAATTACCTGGCTCAGTTTCTCAGCACCCCCATCGACTGATAAATGGGTGAGGAGCTTCCAGGCTGCTTCCCAGCTCTTGTCCACATCCTTCCACAAGCAGGTGGATTCCAGGGATTGAGGAGGAGTTTCACAACCTATTTCGTTGCATAAAACAAAAAGCCACATCCACTCTGGCCATGGGGGTCAGTTTGGCCATCTCCAGTTTGGAGATCTTTCTTCTGGAGATTCCCCAAGGCTGATTCCAAACACCATCCCTGCTCATGATTCCACTGGGAATCAGAATTGATGTAGGGCCTCTTCCAGACACAGCCAGAAGATAGGAGAGCCAAACTCCAGGAAAAATCTTCACCTGAAATGTGATTCAGGACCGAGACCTTTATCCAAGCTCAGATCACTCCCGGGATTTGGGACACGTTCAAACCTAATGGGAGAGAGGCACAAGAAAAAGATGCAGGGAGGCTGAGATAAACCAAAATCCTATTACCAGAGTGGGGGCAAGAGATCTGCACCCAAACTTTTCATCCACTTTTCTTATCAGTGCTGGGAGAGAAGGAGGAAGCTGGCAGGAAATTGTGCTGTGAGGGGGGAGCACCAGTGCTGGGCTTGGCATCTGACACTGGGGGAAAAGCAGAACTAAAGCCATGGGAACACAGCAGGGGAGAAGCGGCTTCTGTGCCGGAAATTGCTTCAGAAGACAGAAAAAAACCAAGGGAGCGGAATAGGAATTCCCCACATGGAGCTGCAAGGTGCAGAGGGCAACAACAGGTTCAGAAGGCAGAGCTCAAAGCACCCGAATTCCTTGGGAAGACACAGGCTGAGATTGGACATCAGGAAATCTCCCCTGTGCAGGAGGCTGGGGCAGCCTCAAATGGGTGTCTGGAGGGGCTGGGAATCACCACCCTTGGGGCCTTCTGGGCTTGGCCAGCCAAAGCCACAGCCAGCCTAACCTGGTGTAGGAGGCCACTGTGTTTTATGGTGATCACAAAGATCCCTTTGAGCCAACAGCCAAACATGAGCCACCAACGAGGCAGGAACCATCAACCAGGTACAAACCATCAACCAGGCATGAACCATCAACCAGGCACCAGCCATCAACCAGGCAGGAACCATCAACCAGGCATGAACCATCAACCAGGCATGGACCATGAACAAGGCATGAACCATCAACCAGGCACCAGCCACCAACCAGGCATGAACCATCAACCTGGCATGAACCTTCAACCAGGTACGAACCATCAACCAGGCACAAACCATCAACCAGGCATGAACCATCAACCAGGCATGAACCATCAACCAGGCATGAACCATCAACCAGGCACCAGCCATCAACCAGGCATGAACCATCAACCAGGCATGAACCATTAACCAGGCACCAGCCACCAACCAGGCATGAACCATCAACCAGGCACCAACCATCAACCAGGTACCAGCCACCAACCAGGTACGAACCATCAAACAGGCACCAGCCATCAACCAGGCACCAGCCATCGACCAGGCATGAACCATCAACCAGGCATGAACCATCAACCTGGCACCAGCCATCAACCAGGCACCTGGGCACAGCAGCTGCAGATCTGATCCGTGGTGGTGTGGAGAGAAGAATCTGAACCATGGTGGGGGTGTGGAGGGGAACACCTGGACCATGGTGGGGTGTTGAAGGGAACACCTGGACCACGGCAGGGTGTTGAACGGAAGACCTGGACCATGGTGGGTGTTGAAGGGAACACCTGGACCACAGCTGGGTGTTGAAGGGAACACCTGGACCATGGCAGGAGTGTTGAAGGGAACACCTAGACCATGGCAGGAGTGTTGAAGGGAACACCTGGACCATGGTGGGTGTGGAAGGGAACACCTGGACCATGGTGGGGTGTTGAGGGCAGCCACTGCTCCCTGCCCCAGCCAACACGTGGCCTCAGTGGAAACCTCTCAGTCCAGTTCTGCAGTTCCTGTGATCCAAGAGGGTGATGGGCACCAGCCCCCAAAGCAAATCCTCTTTTCCTCCAGCCCTGGGTGTGGTTTTAGCTGCTTCCCCCAGCAGATGAGCAATGTGCAATGCCCTGCCCCAAACACCAGCAGATGTGGGGCTGCTGAAGGGTGGCTGATGTTCTCCAGGGAATGAAGCCCCTGGAAACCTCTGGGAAAGCCCACATGAGGCACCTGTCTGTGTTTCACAGCCCCTGAACCCCAGAAATTACCAACAACCGTGTGCTGTCCCTCCCCACACCCCCACACCAAACTCCCTGGCACAAGCAGTGGTTATTTCGTTGTTTACTGACAGGGATGGGTTCCTGTTCCAGGAAAGCTGCAGGTTTACAGCCCTCCTGCCTCTGTTTGGCACAGGGGAAAACAGGTATTGCTCCAGGAGGTGCATGAAAGCTTCCTAGGAGCATGGACAAAGCTCATCCTTCCAACCCATCCCTGCAAAGGTGACCTTGGATTGTCACCCCCCAAAACCCCTCTGGAGCTGCTCAGGGAGGCACAAGGGGGGGTTGAGGGCTTTTGGCAGCTTCCCAGCGAGGAAAGGAAATCCCCAGCCAAGCCCAGAGTGATCTTTGGTCATCATGGGAAAAGCAGGTGAAGAGAGGTCACCTCACACACTCCCTGTGGGCACAGCGCAAGAGCCAGGGCCACCAACCGTCACCTGCCCCAACAAACCAAACACAGGTGGACAAAGGGATCCTCAGGAGCCATCAGGGCTGGTTCTGTTGCAAGAAAGTGGAGTGGAAAGAGGAGATCAGGAGAAAGGCACCCATGGGTGCCTGTCCCAGGAGTGGCACAGGGCCTGGATGTTACAGCTCCCAAGGAAGGAGATCTGCTCTCCCACCAAAGCTGAAGGATTTCACCCCGAAAAAGGTTTGGTTTGACTCTTCCCTGGGACAAAAAGCATCCTTTGGGGAGGGAAGGACGAGGTTTGGGTGCTTCACTGCCCCTTCCTGCTGTGGAGCACCCCCAGGCTGCAGCTGGCCGGGTGCTGGGAACCTTCAGCCCCTCTCTCAGCAGGGACTGTGGCCTCCCTTCCCAGCCAGGATCTCCCCCAGGCTGTGACCTCACACTCATTTCCCCACTAGAGCTCCTCATTTCCTCCTCCTCCACCACTCAAATTCTCAAGCCCCTCTGTTCTGCCACTGAGCTGGTGGATTTTTTCTGGAAGTGAAATATTTTCAGAGAAGCTGAAGCTTTGCCATCCAGCCACCACCCATCCCACCACTGTCTCTTACTGGCTACTGCCCACCTACCATCTCCAGGATGCAGGTGTGAAGTAGTTCTGCAGGACCAAGACCAGTTACAGCCAAAGGAACTGTAGTTTCAGGTTGGCAGAAACCAGTTTTGGTGGAAACCTCATGATGCAACCACGTGTTTGTGCTGGGGTCACCCTTCAGCTGCTGAGCAGCTGCCAAAAGATGTTGGGGAGGAGATCTGGGTGCCCACAGGAGCTGTTTTAAATGAGGAAAGCTTGGATTTCCCAGTTTCAGACCTTCAGCAAGAAGTGAGATTTTCAACCTTACGGTCACAGCATTTTATTTCCTCTGTGGAAAGCAAAGTGAAAATAGTAGTGGGTATTTTCTGTTTTCACACACTCACATACAGACACTCTGTTCACTTCAGCTATTCCTGCTTCAAACTCAAAACAAATAATCACATATCTGACCACGGGTGGGGTCATATTTGTTACTGGCTTTGTTTCTTTTCACATTATTTAATCACAAAATTAATTACAAAAGTCATTAGCTGGAGAGAAAGGATTTAAAGTGAATACCAGCTATGGGCAACCATGGAGCTTCAGCCAGGCCTGATCCAGGCAGGTATTTCAGCACACTCCAAACCTTAATCCCAGGAGCAGAGATTCCAGCACGCACCAGGTTTGCAAGGTGCCCTCGCTCACAGCTCCCACTGCCCGAGCAGAGCAGCAGGTGCTCAGCCCAAACTCCTGCTCTGTTCATCTCCCTGGAAGAACAGAGGGATCTTTGCCACAGGTTTGGACCTTAAAGACAAGCATCAAAATTTCAGAGCAAAAATATCCCATTCCCTCCCAAAGAGCAGGAGAGGAACCAGCAGAAGACCAGCCCACACATCCCCCTGTGCCTTGGGGCTGGGGGACACCTTCTGGGTGTGCTTTGCTAAAGAAGCCCCAGAGATGGCCCAGCTTTGGCTCACAGCAGGCTTTGAAATCCAGGCCAGCTCTGTCCTTCTGTCCAGGAGAGGCAAGAGACACCAGCACTGCCCAGCAAAGCACAAGGGTCCCTGGGATGCACTCAAGTGAAGCCTCCAAAGATTTACTGAGGTGAAACCTCCACTGGGTCTTCCTTCAAATCTTCATGGTCCTCATTCTCCAGCTGCTCCAGTTTGCTGGATTTCTCATGGACAGCCTCCCCAGGAGTCCTCAAAAACCTGAAATACATTTTTGTGGTGACTTTCAGGGCATGTCCAAAGCCAGCCCCAAACCAGGCTGTAAATGCTGGAGCCTTTGCCTTCAATAAGGCCAGGTTGGATGGGGCTTGGAGCAACCTGGGAGAGTGGAAAGTGTCCCTGGCCATGGCAGGGGATGGAATGAGATGAGTTTTAAGGTCCCTTCTCACACAATCCCTTCCATGAGTCTGTGATCAGCTGAGCTCTGGAGCTCAGAGGGGATTTGCCATCCCTGGGCTTTGGTGAGGATCCCAGGAAGCACTGAGGTCCCAGCTGGCACAGGACAGAAACCCACGGGGGTGTGTGCAGGGGAGGATGTTGCTGGATGAAGCAGCTGCCAACATCTGGAGCTCATCACCTTCCCGTGCCCCATCCATGCCATTTCTCTGCTCTGCTTCACCTCACCTGAACAACAGCTTCTGCCCTGGCTCCTTTTTGATGATGTTGAGTTTGTAGTAGTGTCTGAGAGCTCGTGACATCTTCTCATAGGTCATGTTCATCCGGTTCTGGAAGGAGAAGAGGGTTGTGGGGTGTTGAGCAGAAGTGAGCAACAAGTCCTGCTCTGGGTCTGTGTGCAGCAGGGCCACACATGGGACACTGGAGGAGGTTTGGGGCATTGAGGGACCCTACCCCAGACTGGCTTCATGGTTTGCTTTCCAAGGGGTGAGAAAGGCCCACTTTAACCACCAGGCTGGCATCTCCCACTAACCTGTCAGGACCCAGCACATCCCTCTGGCTGTCCAGGATGGCTGAGACCCCGGCCAGGGGGCTCAGAGACCCTGACACAGAGTCCAAGATGCCCCTGTGGGTTTGATTATGAACCGTGGAGCAAGTTACCAACCTTACATGAAGATCTGCAAACCACAATAGTTTAAGTAGAATAATAGTGAATTTATCACAAGCTGAAAAAGTAGATTTTAGGGTTTCTGGTATGGGGGTTCAGGAGGCAAGATGGAGGAACATGGGCATGTCCAGCCTTTCTCCTTCTTCTTCTTGGCCTCCATCTTCTGCTGTGATGTTGGCTCTTTTAGATTGGTTTAGAGTAGAAGCTCAGTGTCTAACACAGGTGATAGGTATTGGGAAGTAATTGTAAATATTGTACAGGTAGTTTTTAGTATAAAGACATAACCCTGCCCTGGGGGCAGGCAGAGTGCCTGGAACTGTCCTGCTGGATGGACCTTGGCTGGACAGGAGAAAGAAAATTTTATAGATAAGATGTGACCGTGTTCACAGGGGTTTTAGGATGAGGGAAGAGACGAGGATCTGACTCCATGTTTAGAAGGCTGATTTATTATTTTATGATATATATTACATTAAAACTATACTGAAAGAATAGAAGAAAGGATTTCATCAGAAGGCTAGCTAAGAATAAAGAGAGAAAGAATGAATAACAAAGGCTCTCTGTCCCAGCCAGCTGGGCTGTGATTGGCCATTAATTAGAAACAACCACATGAGCCCAATCCCAGGTGCACCTGTTGCATCCCACAGCAGCAGATAACCATTGGTTACATTTTGTTCCTGAGGCCTCTCAGCTTCTCAGGAGGAAAAATCCCTAAGGAAAGGATTTTCCATGGAACATGTCTGTGACAATAAGATACAATAAACAACCTTGAGACCGAGAAATGAAGATCTCTGACCCTTTCTTCAAACACCAGGCTGGGAAAAGAGACTTTCTAACTTTTCTCAGGGTCACTCTGGCCTGCCAGAGATCCTGACACTAACCCTGCACCCCCCATGTCCCCCTCCCCAGCCCTGGGCCACGAGCTCTAGGGAACAGCTCACGAAAGGGGACATGCAGGGATGCCAAATTCCTTCTCAGGGATGCCAAATTCCTTCTCAGGGATGCCAGACTCCCTCTCAGTTGCACTCACCTTGTGGCTGCCCCAGAGCTGGGCCAGCCCGTTGGGGTTGACGACGCGGAACACCTTGGCCTCCCTGTCCTCCCACCGGATGTAGGGCTCGTAGCGGCGGTCGGCCAGCAGCCGGTACACGAACTCCCAGAGCAGCCTGCAGTCTGAGCAGGGGCAGCTGCTGGGCACAGAGCTGCCACCCTGCCAGGCTGCCCCAGCAGCACAATTGCACACGTAGCAGCAGCAATGTCAGAACCCAGGTGTTGGAGCTCAGTGCATCCCCCTGGGTGTCCAGAGCTGCCAGGACCCCGCCAGGGGCTCAGAGACCCTGGCACACAGCCCAGAGCACCTGGGGATTTGATTGTGGAACAAATTGCCAGCTTTGTATGAGGACCTGAACATCACAAAAGTTTGAATAGTACAATAATAAAATTATCACAGGGTGAAAATGTAGATTTTAGGATTTTTGGTATGGGGGTTGTGGGGAGAAGATGGAGGAACTTGGGCGTGTCCAGCCTTTCTTCTTCTTCTTCTTGGTCTCCATTTTCTGCAGTGATGTTGGCACTTTGGGATTGGTTTAGAGTAGAAGTTCACTGTCTAACATAGGTGATAGGTATTGGGAATTAAGTGTAAATATGTTCTATGTAGTTTGTAGTATAAAAGGACAACACCACCCCAAGGGTGGTCAGAGTGCCTGTGGCTGCCCTGCTGAGCAGACCTTGGCTGGGCAGAAAGAAAATTTTATAGATAAGAATTAATAAACAACCTCAAGACCAAAAATTGAAGAGCTCTGACTCGTTCTTCGGACCCCGGGGGCCAAAACAGAGACACCCTGCACATCTCAGGGCTGCAATTAACAACCAAAACCCGAGACCCAGGAAATTCCTCTGCTGCCCTGGAGGGCTCCAGCCCCTGCCCATGGGGCTCAGAGACCTTGGCACAGAGCCCAAGACCCCTGTGCCTTTGATTTAGCCCTTGGAAAAAACAATTACCAACCTTTATATGAAGAATTACAAGCCAAGAGAGTTTAAGTAGAATGATAGTTGGTCACAGGGTGTTGCCCTGATTTTTTAAGATTTTCTAAGCCTTCTGCTGTTTACATTCTGGTAGGAAACTTTCTCACACACTTTCTGTAAATAACTTATTGTTTTGCATTCTTTTATAGAAGAAGAGAAATTTGATGGACTGTTGGTTTGTCCAGTGTCATTGCAGAGGTGGCACTTTCACCCTCCAATCCACTGTCTCTTTTAAAAAACTATAAATGTTGGAGTCAGAAAATAAACTTCCCTTTCCTTCACCTTGAGAGCAGCAGTGTGTGAGCTCATGTTGTTTCATGTCCTGTAGCGACATCAGGGTGAAAAACAGATTTTTGGGGTTTTTAGAATGGGGGTTCAGGAGGCAAGACAGAGGAATCTGGGTGTGTCCAGCCTTCTTCTTGGTCTCCATCTTCTGGGTGATGTTGGCATTTTTGGATTGGTTTAAGGTAGGAGCTCACTGTCTAACATGGGTGATAGGTATTGGGAAGTTATTGTAAATAATGTACAGGTAGTTTTAATATAAAAAGATAACACCAGTGTGCCTCAACCCGACCTGCCAGACAGACCTCGGTGGGTCAGAGAAAGAATTTTATAGATAAGAAACAATAAACAACCTTGAGAAGGAGAATAGAAGAGTTCTGACCCCTTCAACTGCCAGGCTGGGAAAAGAGACTTTCTAATGTATCCTGGGGTCCCTGTGACCAGCAGAGACTCTGAGATGACAACTGTCACCACAGTCACTGTCACTATGACAATTGTCACTAAATAACATGCCATGGACACAAAGGTGAAAAGAGAGTTTTTAATTGCTGACTCGAACATTTATAGATTTCTAAAAGTGACAGTGCCACCTCTCCAATGACACTGGACAAACTAACAGTTTAATATATTTTTCTTCCTCCATAGCAGAATGCAAAACAATAAGTTATTTACGTAAAGTGTGTGAGAAAGTTTTTTACCAGAATGTAAACATCAGAAGGCTTAGAAAATCTTAAAAAAGCAGGGCAACAGACAATAAATATGAGAAGAGCACAGAGCTCAGGCACAGCACTTTTTCTGCAAGATCTCAGAGCAATTACAATTTTTCAGGTGGAAACTGAGGTGGAAAAGCACGGAATGAGGGGAAGGGAGACAGATGGGCAGACAGGACAAAGCACCATCTCACTTCCCCAAGGAACAAGGCCATAAATTCATAATTACCTGCAATTTTCCCATCCACTGGGGCCGACAGGGTAGCAGGAAAGGAGCAGATGGCACCTGGCCTGCAGCTACTCTCTGAGCTGTGGGGGGAGAGGTTCAGTGGCTGCGTGTGGCTGTGGAACAGGGGCTGCTCTGCACAGCCCAGCCACGAGGAAACAGCTGGGGCAGCCTCAGCACTGCAGTCTGCACCTGCAAAAAACCCCCTCATAATCACCCTGGGGTTCATTAGGGTCCCAGACCTTGCAAAGCCCTGAAACAGGAGGGGAGGGACAGCCTGGGGTGGTTATCAGGTGGGACCAGCCCAGCAGAGGAGGAGGATGCTGAGGAAAGCCTGGGATTTTCCTAAGGCTGGTGCAGCACAAAGTCCAGGGAGGGTTAGAGGAGATGTCAGGTAGGGTAAGGGTCAGATACAGAAAAACTGGCATAGGAAAATGCCCCAGAGCAGAGGCATCCCCTGGTAAACTGTTGTGGGGACTTAATATGTTAATTACCTTGCATAGGAACCAGTAGGAGAGCCCAGGAAAGTGCTCCCAGCTCCACCTCCACACACATCCAGCCTCTGAGACCAATCCAGCCCCACCCTAACTCCTACCTGGGTCCCCCAAGGGCACAAAGAAGCCTCACTGGCCCCCACCAACCTCACCTGGGCCCTCTCCCCACCCCATCCCCTGACCCAGCAGCTCTGTGTAAGCTCAGCCCAGCTCCTCAGCCCTTTCTATGCTGCAGGATTAATCTCCAGCAGGGCTGTGCCTCTGCCTGGCTTTGACCCTCCCTGATCCAAACCTCAGTCTGCAGGCAGATTTCTTGGGGAAGTCACAGTATTGCCAGTTTGCACAGAGCCCCACAGCACTGGTTCTGAGCTGCTGCATCTCTGCAAATTCCCAGCTGGCCAGGACTTTGCTGGGCCTGGTTGCCTCTCTCAGGATGGTTCCAGCAGGCTCAGCTCCAAGCCCCAGGTGTGTGCAACCAGGCAGGTTCTGCCTGCTGGACACTGCTTGCTGCTCTCCCAGGATATTTTCCCCCATCATACCTTCCTCTGTGCTCCTGGCTTTCCTGAAGGGTGAGTTCAGCAAGGGGCTGCACACCAGAGCTCTTCTCTGAGTTTTAATGAACTGGAGTATTTCATAAAGCACATCCCCTGCAGGGAGGGAAACTCTGCTCAGATGCCTTTGCATAATGGTTTGAGTAATGTTGCTGAGATTCTGAACTACAGTGTGGGGTTACTCCCCATCCCAAAGTGTTGGAATGTTGGGGGACACAAGACAGAGGATGCACTTTGGAGCTGGTTAACAAAAGAGATTTGATAACAGGATGCCTTGGCAAAAGCAAACAGAACTTTGAAAATTGGACCTGGATTGCAAGAAGATTCAATCAAACGGGTTACCAGAAAAAGAAACTCCCATTAAACTCTGCAAGCAAGAGATGTTGTTATATGCATAAGTTTGTGTATGTGATTTTAACCTAATCATTGCAGGACACATTACTATTCTCCCTGAAATAGTACATAAGTGCTTGTATCCCACAATAAAATTGGATTCTGATCACCGAGTCAGTCTCCCTGTCTCTCTCCATCACTGACACCAAAGTATTTGCAGTTCAGATGGACCAGAGAAAGGAAGAGCTGTCCTCATCTCCAGCACAAAACCTGCTCTGCTGGGACCCACTGAGCCCTGTCAGCAGAGTGCTCCTTGTGCTGGGATGGTGCTCACAAACCCCTGGGTCCAACCTGAGTTGGGAGCTCAGTGTCTGAAGTCCTCCTTGCTGAGGATACACAAGGCTTTGCCATTCATTTCAAACTTAATAACCCATGGATATCCTCTTTTCAAGGTATCAAGTAACAAAGAGCCTTACAGAGTAAACAAGAGGATCAAACACCTATAGTGCTTGCAACACATTAGAGAAAATCAAATAAAAAAATAAACTTCTATCTGTTTTTAAGTTACCCATTAACTTGACCACTGTAAGATTATTAAAGTTTCTGTGGCTTCCTGGAATGTACACCACGTGTACTTTGCATGATGGAAAGACAGTGAACAAGCAGATTCCTGTGCTCCTGCTGCCCAGTGCAGCACTCCCTGGACTTCCCTGATCCCCACCTTGTGCTGGGATGGTGCTCACAAGCCCCTGGGTCTCACCTGAGCTGGGGGCTCGGTGTCTGAAGTCCTCCTTGGTGAGGATGCACAAGGCTTTGCCGTTCATTTCGAAGCTGCTCTGCTCAGTGGGCCGCAGGGAATATTCCCTCTCAGCCCATCGCAGCCAGTGCATCACATCATCCTTGCTCCACAGGGAGGGCTGGATTCCTGAAACCAGGAAAACACCTCTGGTCTCAAACTGCTGAGTGGCAGGGTGGGGTTTCTTCTCCATCACCAAACTTTCCCTCTATATTAAACACTCGTGGGTCAAAAAGCCCACAAAGACAGAAAACAAACCCTGAGGAAGCCTTGTCCCCCTTGCCAGCAGGGAATGGTCCCTGGGTGGGACACCATGGCTGTACCCACCCTGTCCCACCCCATGGCAACTCCTTTTTGAGCAGCACTGACTTGCTTGGCCTCTACTCACTCAGCCTCCCTGGAAGCCTGAAGATCTGCCCAGTGCTGATGGGCGAGGGTCTGGCCTGGGGTGGGGGTGGTACTGACACGGCCACCACGGGGCTGGAGGAGCTGATGGTCACTTTGCCCTGGGGAAGAGATCAGATACATCAGGGGGAGAAATTCTGGTACTGCCTTTGCTTTGGAGGTGCCTCCATGTCCTGCAATGCCAAGCAGACTGTACTCTATTTGCCATCTGGATGCCAGTTGTCTTCTGTTCATGGGCATTTTCCTTATCTCTTCCACACCCACTCCTCCCTCCAGGGACACATCTGCTGATAACAGCTATTGAATGTCACTGCATGGCTGATAAGAGCTACAGCATCCCATTGGGAGATGTGAGCCCAGGGGGAGGAGCCAAGCATTCCTACCTGGATATAATCTGGAGATTCTGGAACACCAGCCAAGCATTCCTACCTGGATATAATCTGGAGATTCTGGAACACCAGCACAGCTTCTGCACTGGATTGCCCAGAGGAGCAGCAGCTGCCTCTGCCCCTGGATCTTCAGAGGCAGAGACTGCACCTTTCTCCAGGATCCCTGCTCCAGCAGAACCAGCCCTGGCACTGCAGGAGGGCTGAGCCACAATTCCAATGGTTCTGCTGCCCACACCCTGACCCACAGGGTGTCAGGCTGGGTTCTGACTCTGGCACTGTTGGTTTGGTTCACTGCATTGTTCATTTTCTCTTTTTATTTTCTTCCCTATTAAAGAACTGTTATTCCTGCTCCCATATTTTTACCTGAGAGCCTCTTAATCTAAAATTTATAGCAATTCAGAGGGAGGTGGTTTACATTTTCCATTTCAGGAAAGGCTCCTGTCTTCCTTAGCAGACTCCTGGCTTTCCAAACCAAGACACTCCACCTGCTCCCGCATTTCCTGACTGCTTTCTCATAGCAGTGTGATGTGATGTGTGTTATTTTTGTATTAATGATGGATGAATGAAGTGACCAAAACCCTTAGGTTTTTAGAAGGTAAATGTAAATTTTATTAGACACTATGTATTCTTTTGTAGATAGTTATGATAAAGTTGGACTTGACTGGTCTTTAATTAATACTCTTTATACTATTGGTTAATTAGGAATAACACCCTTATTGTAAATATTTTATAAGTAAACAATATGTTTAAAACACTAGTTGTAAAGATTAAGGATTGTTTTAATTCTTTCCCTGAGAATTCTTTCCCTCAAGAATTACTTTCTCAAACTTCCCAGAGTAATGCTTGGGAAAGTTTTTCTGATTCTTTCTCTGACCAGACTTTCAGCAACCACGGATGTGATGTTTTGTCTACAGCTCTTCCTCACACTTTTCCAGTCCCTGGTTGCCAAGAGATCCCTTTCTCCAGCTCTTTAGCAGAGGAACCTGCCCTCATTCAGGCTTTGGATGGGGGTTATCCATCCCCACTCCCCATGGCTGCAGGGAAATGGGAGATGGAGCTAAGGCAGGCAGAGCCTGCAGTGCCTGTGCTCCTGCAGGACTCTCTGATGCTCAATGGATGCTCAAGGTTTTAGGAGAGCACTTCAGTTCTTTAGAGCTGTTAAAATAAACCTGGCAGTGCTTTGATTTTGTCTTGAAAACACCATATGGAGAGAGATCTCCCACTCTGTCCCCAGGGATCATTTGGGCATAAGTGGAAATGGCCATCCCATGGTTTAGGGAGGTGCAAGCTCCTCTTGTTCACTCTCCATGGAGTTCTGGCCCCCCTCAAGAATTTCTTTCCCTCTCAGCCAGGGCATGTGAGCCAGAAGGGAGCTCAGATCCTGCTTCCAGCCACATCTAGATCTTGAAATATTACTGGCAGCCAAGCAGATAATGTTTCCCCTTAAAAACCTATTAATGTGGATCCCAGCAATTTCTCAGCTTCGCTCACTGGAAAATTAACAATTTTGCTGTCAAATGGTATTTTCTGAAGCAGTTACCAACTCTGAGCACTTCAGGCTCAGGCAGGCTTTTGCAGATGATTTAGAGCAGCCAACCCCTGACTGTGTGCAGGCAGAGGAGTTGAGCCCTCTGAAAATGAGGGGTGAGGAGATGGGAGCTGGACACATCTTAAATGCAAAACTGAAGCTCCCAAAATCAGGAGAAGAGGAGCCAGGAGCAATACAGTGCATCAGTCCAGGGAAAATGCTTCCCTGGGAGTTACAGCAGGAGGAAGGCAGCAGGTGGTGGGAGGATTTCTGAATTCTGAAAATTCTGAAAATTTCAGAATTTCCCTTCTGAAAAAGAAGGACAATTTGGTGGTCACTGGACTGGATTTAAAAAGCAGGCAGCTACATGACATTGCATGAAGAGAAAGTGAGACCCCAGAATAAACTCTGAGCACGTTTGGCAGCAACACAAACTGTCTTTCAGATTCACTCTAAGCAATAAGCCATGGGGAAAATAAAAGTGAAAGAAATCAGCAGTGTATTTTATCTAGAACTCTCTAAAAGTTATTTTAATTTTCTCCCATCGACGTGACTCCCTTACAAACGAGATTTACAGTAAAACCAGAACAAATCTGGTATTTTTCTTGCTCCTAAAGATTTCTAGGCCTTGGGATACATTCTGAATTTTTATTATGTTATACTAATTTTATGTTCTTGCTTTTATCCCTGCTTAGCTGCTTTCACTCTTTTCTGAGATGTTTGGGGGTTTTTTTTGCTTCAAGAGGAAATACTGTCCTTGGGGGTGTTCGAGTGGGAAAGTGAGAAAAAGCAGGGTGAAAAGGAACCCCCAGATGTGTGAGAGGAGCTTTTTGCTCAGAACTCAATGTAGGAGGAGAGGCTCCCAGCTGCTCTGGGCTTTGTGAGGTCCTTTGGAGGTGGGCTAGGGGGTCACCCCCCAGGGCATGAACTTCCAGCAAATTTTGTCCTGGTTTGGGGCAAATTTGTGAGAAATGAGCACCATGAGCCAACATATACAGCATCCTTATTGCCACTTGTACTTCCATAAATTGTGTACTCTGCCAGTTGTGGAGTGCAGCGTTAAAAACTCCGCGGACAGATGCCAACAGTAATTCTGGTGAGACCTGAGCAAGTCTGTCCAGCAACAGTTTCAACTGTTTTCTGTACTCCACAAACACTGCTTCATCCTCACCCTCATTTTCAAAATTATATTCTTCATCGTATATCAACTTCTTCATAGCACCCAACATGATTTGCCTATTTGAATTAGCTTTCTGTTGGTCTGCCAGTCCTGAAGGCACAGAACATCACACCCAGCATAAACAGAACACACGAGCGGGGATACAAGCATCATAACGAGCCCGAAGCGAGGAGGAGAAATCTCGAGGGGAGGAGGGAGGACAAGGACCGGGGCCGGCTCCTACCTGCATGGCCGGTGGCCGGCCCGGTGCGAGCGGAGCCCGCAGCGCTCCGCTCCCGTCCCCGCGCCGCGATCCCGGCGAAAAACGAAATCGAAACGAGCGGGAGTCCCGGGAGAGAGCCGGGGGCAGAGCCCGGGGCCGGGTCCTGCTCCCCCCGCCCCCGCCGGGGCCCCGCGGCTCGTCCCGCTCCGCCCGGTACCGGGAAAGCACCGGGAACCTCCTGCTCCCGGGGCCCCGCTCCGCCCGGTACCGGGAAACCACCGGGAACCTCCTGCTCCCGGGGCCCCGCTCCGCCCGGTACCGGGAACCTCCTGCTCCCGGGGCCCCGCTCCGCCCGGTACCGGCACCGGGAACCTCCTGCTCCTGGGGCTCCACTCCGCCCGGTACCGGGAAACCACCGGGAACCTCCTGCTCCCGGGGCCCCGCTCCGCCCGGTACCGGGAAAGCACCGGGAACCTCCTGCTCCCGGGGCCCCGCTCCGCCCGGTACCGGGAAAGCACCGGGAACCTCCTGCTCCCGGGGCTCCGCTCCGCCCGGTACCGGGACAGCACCGGGAACCTGCTGCTCCCGGGGCTCCGCTCCGCCCGGTACCGGGAACCTCCTGCTCCCGGGGCTCCGCTCCGCCCGGTACCGGGACAGCACCGGGAACCTCCTGCTCCCGGGGCCCCGCTCCGCCCGGTACCGGTACCGGGGAACCTCCTGCTCCCGGGGCTCCGCTCCGCCCGGCACCGGGAACCTGCTGCTCCCGGGGCCCCGCTCCGCCCGGTACCGGGAAAGCACCGGGAACCTCCTGCTCCCGGGGCTCCGCTCCGCCCGGTACCGGCACCGCACCGGGGAACCTCCTGCTCCCTCTAGCCCGCGGCTCGCCCCGATCCGCCGCTACCGGCACCGGGAACCTCCTGCCCCCGGGGCCCCGCGGGCCGACACACTCCTCCTCCTCCTCCTCCTCTTTCGGGAGGACGGAGCGATCCCGGGACACGCCGGGAGCAGCTCCACGAGCGGCGTTCGTCCTTTCTCTCCCCCAGGGGGAAAGGGGGAAAGCGGCGCAGCGGTCCCGGAGCAGCGGGAGGTGGGAGCACACCGGGAGGTGCCCATCGGCCCCCGAGCACACCCGGGGATGTGTGGGCACACACGATGTGGGGTTCTACGGGTAATTGGGAGGGGCTGGGATGGGCTTTGAAGGGACTGGGAGGGACAAAAAATACACTTTTAGGAACAAAAAGGGCACTGGGAGGCCACTGGGATGGTAATGGGATAGAGTGGGATGGACTGGGAGTGACTGGAATAGATTTGGAGGGCACTGGGATAGACTGGGATGGACTGGGAGTGACTGGAATAGATTTGGAGGCCACAGGGATAAACTGGAATGAGCTGGGAGTGACTGGGATAGATTTGGACGGCACTGGGATGAGCTGGGAGTGACTGGGATAGACTTGAAGGGGTTTGAATGGGATTTGGGAGGGATTGGACAGGACTGGGAAGGACTGTGAGGCATTTTTAGGGACAAAAAGGGCACTGGGAGTGGACTGTTAAGGCACTGGGATAAACTGGGAGGGACAAGAAGAGGACTTTTAGGAACAAAAGGGGCACTAGAAGGGCTCTGGAACCACCGGGGGGCACCGGCATAGACTGGGATATACGGGGATGAACTTGGAGGGGGGCGGATGGAACTGGGAGGCGCTTTTAGGGACAAAAAGGGGCTGTGGGAGGGGACTGGGATAGACTTAGAGCGGAGTGGATGGGACTGGGAGGCGTTTTAAGGACAGAAAAGGGCTGTGGGAGGGAACTGGGAAGGAACTGGGAGGGGACTGGGCTGGACTGGGAGGGCTCCGCTCCCCGCAGGCACCTCCTCCTCTCGCCCCGCCCCCTCCTGCTCTATCGGTTCCCATTGGCCAATTGGGGAAGCCAATCACGGAACTTATCCAATCAGATGGCGGCGTGGGCGGCGGGCGGGGCTCAGAGGCGGGGCCCCGCCCATCGCCCGCCTGAGGGAGCGGCCGCGGCGGGGACGGGGTGAGTGAGGCCTCGGGGGCGCGGGGGGCAGTCGCGGACTCCGCGGGGCTTTGGGGGCCCCTTCTCGCTCTCCTCTGACCTTCTGGGGGTCTTCTCCGTGCTCTCGGTGCTTTGAGGGTGGTTATGGGCCTGGGGGCGTCCGCAGTGCGCTCTGTGTCCGGAAAAGGGGGTTGGGGGGGGGCTTTCCTGGCCCGGCGGGCACAGAGGATAGTGCGGGGCCGAGAGGGGCCTGGGGGTCACAGGAGACAGGGGGAGAGGGCTGAGGGCCTCGCTGGGGGTCACAGGGGGCTCTGTTGTTGTGAATGGGCTTTGGAGGGGGTTCGGGGGTATCTGGGGATCACAGGGGACATGGATGAGGAGTCTGGGGGTGTCTGGCTATCTCAGGGGATGTGGGGCTGAGGGAGTGTCTGGGGGTCACACGGGATATGCTGGAGTGGGCTGTGGGGCTGAGGGGGTGTCTGGGGGTCACAGCAGACTCTGTTGTTGTGAATGTGCTTTGGAGGGGCTGGGAGAGCTTTGGGGGCTGCTCTGAGGGTGTTTGGGGACAGAGCATTGTGTGCACTGACAGAGGCCATCTGTGAGGATGGGGGTGCTGCCACCCTTGTGGTGTTCACTTACAAAGGGGTCTTTGGAGCGTCTCCTACCCTCTGTGTTTGGTGGGGGGCTGGGGCTGTTATCCCTGGGTTAGCACTGCATCCTCGTGTTCCTGAGGTGTTCGCGTTTTCCTGGGCTGTGTGCGAGGCTGGGGCTGTGCCCGGTGCCCTGTGCTGTGTCCACCACCCCCAGAATGGAACCAGCCTCCCCTTGGGGTACTGGCTGGACACACACCACCCTCCTACACGTGTTCTGGGGCTCTAGGCTGGTGCAGTGTTGTTCTTAAACGTGTTTTTAGGCTTGGATTAACCTCCTTTTCATCCCTCTTTTCTGGCCCCACTGTGCTTTGAAAGGAGCAGGAATTTCTTAGGGGTTTTCCCCTAAATGGGTGAGGGGAAATGAGTGGGTGAAACCTCAGTCCACCTCTGCTCATAGGCACATTTGTGTGTCAGCTGTGATCCTGCCTGTCTCTGTTCTGCCATCTCAATGACCCGAGGCTCTTCAGGGAAGGGGTGATAAAAATGCAGTCTTGGCTATGAGGTTTAATAAGACCAAGGTCCAGGTGCTGCATCAGGGCCAGGTCAACCTCCAGTATCAATCCAGGCTGTTGCCTCAATCCATGAGTTGCTTGGACATGCCCTGGTCAGGTGTGTTGGACCCAGAACCCCCAGAGCCCTGGGCTGCTCCCCCAAGTGTGGGCAGCAGAGGAAGGGGGGTTCTCCTTCTCTGCCCTGCTCAGGTTGGATTCCACCTGCAGAGCTGCCTGCAGTGCAGCCCTGGGGTCCAGTACAGGAAGGACATGAAGCTGTTGGAGGAGACCACTGAGATGATCAAAGGGATGGAGCAGCTCTGCTGTGAGGAAAGGCTGAGATTTGGGGTTGTTCAAGCTGGAAAAGAGAAGGCTTGGGGTGACTCTACTGTGGCCTTGCAGGAGCTGAAAGGTGTCTGCAGAAAGATGGAGAGAAACTGTTTACAAGGGCCTGGAGTGGCAGGACAAGGGGGAAGGGCTTCACCCTGACAGTAGATTTAGATGGGATATTGGGAAAAAAATCTTCCCTGTGAGGGTGGTGAGGCCCTGGCAAAGGTTGCCCAGAGCAGCTGTGGCTGCCCCGGGCCTGGCAGTGTCCAAGGCCAGGCTGGACAGGGCTTGGAACAGCCTGGGCTAGTGCAAAGTGCCCCTGTCCATGGCAGGAGCTGAAACAGGATGAGCTTTGGGGTCTCTTCCCACCCAAACAATCCTGGGATTCTGTAACCCTGGGAGATTGAGAACCTCTGTAGGGAGAGTGTTCTGAATTGTTTTGCCAGGGTTCCTGCACCTCAAATCGTGTTGTAGCTGTAGATTATGGCAGAAAGTTCACCTGTGATCCCTTGAGAGCCTCATCCTCAGCTCAGTGCAGTCCTTCCTGCTGGCATAAACAGCTCATGGCAAGGAAGTTGTGTCTGGGATCAACAGGAACCCTGAGCTTTCCCTGTTCAGGTGTGTCCTTGTTTACCCCGTGCAGGGGCTGTGGGGCTGCACTGCCCACAGTCACCTGCCTTGGAGGGTTGTAAATACCTCAGGGCTCAGTTCTCAGAAGTGTTTTCAGTGATCTGAGCATCAAAACATGAATTATTTGGGTCAGGAACTGTGGGTTAATGTGTAGGCAAAGCTGCTTGTGAGAGTTATTATTCTCCAGACTGGATTTCCATGTGCCTTTATTATTATTCTGTTTAGGGAAGCAGCCTCCTTCTGCTAAAATAAATACACTGTTTATAGCATAACTCTGTACTTACATCACTAACAAATGCTCTTTTGCAGAGCAGCCTGTACAACAATTGTCTTTATTTTCCATACTAACATCCATGTTCTGATCTTATGGCTGAAATGCAGCAGCTTATGTAAACCAAGGGAAGCCTGTGCAGAAGATTGTCTAGACTCACTTCAACTTATCTTCAAGCCATTAAGGACAGGTTAAAGTAAGTTCTGCTGTCATGGAAATAGGCATGTGCTGATTTTTTGGTGTTTGTTTCAAGACAGACTAATTTGCAGCACATGAAATGCTTTTTGATCTCTTTTGATGCTGTCTTGTGCTGCCAGAATTAAAGAGGATGAGTTTTATGTTTGATTTGGGCTTGAAAGGAATGATCTTTCTGGTAGGAGTTCATTACATCATTTTATTTTGGGGGAGCTGTCTGTTTTGTAGTTGCTCTCTATAAATGAGTGGAGTTCAGTGAGCTCAGTCAAGCTGCAGGGGCAGCTGGAAGTTGTAGGTGAAAGAACCCAACTGGTTATTTCTCTGTAAATGAGTGGAGTTCAGTGAGCTCAGTCATGCTGCAGGGGCAGCTGGAAGAAGTTGTAGGTGAAAGAACCCAACTGGTTATTTCTCTATAAATGAGTGGAGTTCAGTGAGCTCAGTCATGCTGCAGGGGCAGCTGGAAGAAGTTGTAGGTGAAAGAACCCAACTGGTTATTTCTCTATAAATGAGTGGAGTTCAGTGAGCTCAGTCATGCTGCAGGGGCAGCTGGAAGAAGTTGTAGGTGAAAGAACCCAACTGGTTATTTCTGTATAAATGAGTGGAGTTCAGTGAGCTCAGTCAAGCTGCAGGGGCAGCTGGAAGTTGTAGGTGAAAGAACCCATCTGGTTATTTCTATCCTTCTAACAGTGCTGAGAACCAAGTAGCAAAGTCATTTGAGCTGTTGGATGTGAAGTGCCTGTACCTGCAGACAGAGAAAGTGAATGTGGGGTTTTCTTGGGCTTGTTTATTTTCTGGAAGGGTTTGGAGGCAGTTCTTGAAGTGGCAGATAAGAGTAATTCCAGAAGCCTCATCACTGGCTGTGGAAATGTAACTGGCTAACAGAAATGTATATCTGAGATCCATCTAGAGCTGCTGGATGTGTCCAGTATAAAATCACTCCAGGTTACACTTTGCTTTCTGTCCGGCCGTCTGTCTTTGTTGTCTGTCTGGCCATCTGTCTTTGTTTTCTGTGTCTGTCCTGCCGTCTGTCTGTCTGTGCCCAGACACAGGTAGGGTGGTTCTGGGGCAGCCCACACTTCAAAGGACGAGTCTGGACTCTTCAGTTTCTCGCTCTTCAGATTGTTTATTGTTTCTTATCTCCAGAATTTTCTTTCTGACCTGCAGGGCAGCCAAGGGCACTCTGCCCACCCATGGGGTGGTCATGTCTTTTTATACTAAAAACTACATATATCATATTTACCTTTATTTCCCAATACCTTCCACCCATGTTAGCAAGTGCACCTTCACCATGGACCAATCCCCAAGTGCCAACATCACCACAGAAAATGGATGACAAGAAGAAGAAAGAAGGACAAGACACACCCTGATCCCTCCATCTTGTCTCCATAACCCCCCTGTACCAAAAACCCTAAAATCTCTATTTCACCCTGTAAATGCATCATTCCTGCACCATTCACTCCCAAGTGAGTCTCATGTCCCCAAACAGGTGGCACATCCCTAGAGGGGACGAAATCAAGCCACCAGATGCTCCTGGCAACATCCCAGGATTTCTGTGTCCCCCAAGGCTTCTCTGGGTAACTGGCCATCCAGAGTGATGTGCTGAGTTCCCACAGCTTTCCTGTGCTCCAGAGGTGTCCTTACCTGAGCTCTGCACACCAGTCATCAATATTTGCATCCCCAAAGTATTTTTAACCATCAGGCTTGAGAAACTCTCTTACTTCAGCTGATTGGATCATAAATCTGATCTTACCTCAGTCTCTTTGAAGTACCTTCATGTTTTGGCATGCTCAGTCCTGCCTTCTCAGAGTCCAGGAGGTTTCATAACCACTTGCCTGGAGTTTTCTGTTGAGGATATTGTAACATTTTTTGTGTGGTGACTCAGTCTGTCTTTACAGGTCATGAGGAGTAAGAATCATCATCTCATTTTATCAGTTGATACTTTCAGCCCTTTCAGAGTTTGGGCCATGCCAGGGTGTGTTTGTCACTCGACCTCATCTTGAACTCGTTCCATGTGCCCACGACAGGCAGCCAAGTGTTCAGTTCACTGTGTAGCAGTACATTCAGAAGAATCAAAGTATAATATTGCTTAAAACTCTTGCTGTTCATTCTACTTAAACTCCTGAACACCCAGAAGCAGATAATTTGGGTGTAGAGATAAGTAAATAACATTTCACCCTGTGTAATGAATTTGCTGTAAGGCTCCGGTGCTGTAGCTCACAACACCTTTGTCCCCCTTTGCCAAAAGCTGTCATCACCAAGGGACATTGGCCAGGCAGTGGGACTGGATTAATAATTGCATCACAGAGCTGCAGAGGCTGTTTGGAAAGGCACTGCACAATGAAAGGCCAACTCAGCAGCCAAATGTGGGGGAAGGAGCCTTGCAGCACTCCTGAAATAGCACCTGTGAGCTCTCTCTTTGGTGCCTGTGCTTGCCAAAGCCACTGCAGAAAATTCTTCCTCCTCCTAGAAAGTCCCATCCTGCCTAATTAATGCAAAGTGAGTCTTCTGAAAGCTTCAGCTTGGGATGGACGCTGGAACTGCTGTGTTCTGCTTGGAGATCCCAGAGGAGTGTGTGGATAATGAGCTCTTCTTTACAAGAAAAGTGCTGAGTTGGTGCATGTTGATAAAAGTCACTTGAGCTGTCTAAAAGATCTGATTTTTAAATGAGTTTCTTAATAAAAAGTGAATTTAGCCAGAGGATCAGTGCATTACTGGCTAATTTAACCCACATCTAGACAAGCAGCACAACAAACATCTTTTCTGTGGGGGAAAATCTAAAAGAATGGGGAACCATCAGCATTTTTTTCTTCATTTATTCATAAATAGCATAACTAAAGCTAAGTAAAGTTTAGAAATTACCAATTTGGTGTCATTCATATTTTTGTAGAAACAGTTTGATAGCAATATCTGGTTTTGGGGGAGACCTGACCAGGCTGCTGATGAAAGCCACTCTGATTTCAGGTTTCTCATCCCAATATCCCCTCCAATTCATGACAGTGGGGTAGCACTGCTGGACCATCTTTGCCAAGGTTGTGCAGTTTTGGGTCTGTGGCTTTTGCATGGCCTTGCCATGTGAATTGTTCACTGAACAACCTCCTGTTCTGAGCCATGAGAGTGCAGAGAAGCTGGGACTTGGAATCCAGGTAGTGGGGAGGGGATGTGTGCTGGGAGTGTTACAATAATCACAGGTGCTGAAGTCCTGGGACCTGCCTTCCTTCCCTGTCTTATTCCATCACTTTTCACACCCATTTCTCCCCCTGTGTCTTGCTGCAGTTCTAATTTGCAGTCACAATGTGTCCTCCAGCCTCTTCACTGGCCCCTGTGGGTTTGGATCCACTTTTTGGAGCACAAAAGAGCACTAAGGACTTTTGAAGGGCAGCAGGCCCATAAGCACAGGCCTGAAATTGAGAAGGAAAATCGATGTCTGTTAGTCTTGGAGGCAGCATTGAATATGGGCTGTAGCTGCTGAAGCTCAACATTCAGTAATTTCTTCTACAATTTATGATTGTTTTTTTCTTCTTGCCCTCAGAACAACCTCCAATGTGTTGTGTGCAGCTGTTAAAAATTGTGTTAATCCATGGATTGCTCCTGGGAGCAGGAATGTTCAGCCATTGCTTTGGTTTTACTACTGAACACACAAATACACAAATACCCTTGTGAACCATAAAATGGAGCAGTCATATGGATCCCACTGTCAGAGTGCTGAGGATTACTCAGCTTTTTACTGCAAGAATAAAAAGCTGCCCGAGATTCAATTCAGAAGTAGCCAAAAGAAGCAATAAAAAAGAGGTGATAGAAATGGACTAAAGATAGAGAAATGAGAGTACAGCTCTGTGTCAGGTCTGCCTCTGCCATCTGTGGACAAATAGTCTAGATTAGAGTGTATTAGTCAGTCCTGCTTTCAGTGGCAGCAGCATTTCCAAGAACTGGGAAATGAATGCATTTCCAGCTCCCATACAACAGTGCTGTGTCCCTGACCTGTGCTGGGTGTCAGAGTTCAGTCCATTGAATCAGGAAGTTTTCAGAAGGAGGCAGAGCTTGGCAGCCACAGAAACAGGAGAAGTGACCCTTGTGACAGCAGTGGAAGTGGTGTGTAACAGTTAATGATTGCTGCTGCCACCTGGGTTGCATGCAAAGCTTTGGCTACATAGCTTTGCAAAACAGATGAGGAAGATGTAAACAACAAGGCCAATGTCGGGTCCGTCTGTCTGTCTGTCTGTCTGTCTGTGCCCCGACACGGGTACGGTGGTTCTTGGGTGGCACGCGATGCAAAGGACGAGTCTGGACTCTTCAGCTTTTCGATCTTCAGGTTGTTTATTGTTTCTTATCTACAAAATTTTCTGTCTGCCCAACAGAGGTCTGATCTGCAAGCAGTCACAGGCACTCTCTGACCACCCACGGGGCGGTCATGTCTTTTTATACTAAAATCTACGTACATGATATTTACCTTTATTTCCCAATGCTTTTCACCCATGTTAACAAGTGCACCTTCACCATAAACCAATCCCCAAGTGCCAACATCATCACAGGAGATGGAGGACAAGAAGAAGAAAGAAGGACAAGACACGTCCTGATCCCTCCATCTTGTCTCCATAACCCCCCTGTACCAAAAACCTTAAAGTCTATATCTCACCATCTAAATGTGTCTCTTTTACACCTTGTACTCTAAAGTGATTCTCTTGTCCTCAAACTCTTGTTACTTCTGTGGATGGATCAAAATCAAGCCACCAAACACTCTTGGCAACATTCCAGGATTTCCGAGACCCCCAAGGGTTCTCCTGGCATCTCTGGACATCGGGAACGATGTGCTGAGATCCCACAGCCATGTTTAATAAAAGAAGGGTTTTCAAGCAATGTCATTCCTGGGCTAGAAGGCATAGCTGAGTCCCTTGGAGCCCAGCTCTGGCTCGCTGTGCTGGGACAGCAGCTGGTCACATCTCCTGAAATGAATCTGGGAGCCCACCTGATGCCACTGCATGTCCTGTAAACTGTCAGGATTAAGCATCTGCTCCACTTGGAGCTCTATGCTCAGTTTAATAACCATTCACATGAATTTTTTTCTAAGTGGTGCCTGGTTTGTAACTGAATGACTGCAATTCTCTGGTTTTTCTGGTAGCTCAGATGAACTGGAGTGAGAGGTCCACAAAAGATGGAAAAGGCAGGAAGAGAGAAAGTGATGGCAGCAGCAGAGTTTCTGGATGGACTGGAGATGAGCACAGTGGATTTTCTCAGTCTCTCAGTTCATGTGCTCACTATCATCTGCTAGTTCAACATGACTGGAACAAATAATGGAGAAAAATAGAGTAAGGAAGCTTTAACCTCCGTGAAAGTGAGCTCATTTCTTCTTCCTCTGGGCAAGTGGATTAAAAATCGTGGTGTTACATAATCTCTACCCACAGAAAAGCTTCTGTCTGCCTGGAATGTTATCTGCTGTGGCAGTTGGTGCTTATGAATGAGTTCCCTAATCCATTGACACAAACGTTCCAGCAGGCACTTGCAGGCTTCCCTGTGGTCTGATGCTTGCTGAGGAGCCCTTAGTCAGGTGTCAGGGGCTGATCCAGCCTCAGGAGATGGATGTTACATAGGAAAGGCCTTTAAACTGATAGGGGTTTTGGAAAAAAAGACTTTACTGCCTGTCCTGGGAAAGGAATCCAACTAAGGAATGGAAAAGAAATAGAGATTATTAAAATCTCAGGTTTTGATTGCAGTTAAAGTTTGATTTCTTAAATCCATGGAGTTTCACATACATGAGCATAACCTGGCCTTTTTCTATAGGATCCAATTTTTCTTTTTCCTTTCAGACTGACCAAGTTACAAATATGAAAAATCATAAGATGGTTCAGTTGTGTGCAAATGAGGCAATTCAGGTATATTTGGGAAGTGGTTCAGCTTTAATGTAAAGCACCCAAAGAGCACAAGGTTTTGCCCATATCCAGGCTTTGCTGAGATGCATCCTGAGCATGTGTAAATCAGCTAATGTTGGGCTCTCTGGGGACAGCAGGTTTTAGCTTTTATTGTAAATGCTGGCATCTCTGCACTCAGCTGGGCTGATTTCAGAGCTCCCTTTGAGTGCAGTCAAACCCATCGATTGGGATGCTGCACTAATGGAGAGAAATATTGATCATGAGCATTTCTTGGGTATGTGGGAGAGGAGAGGAGAGGAGAGGAGAGGAGAGGAGAGGAGAGGAGAGGAGAGGAGAGGAGAGGAGAGGAGAGGAGAGGAGAGGAGAGGAGAGGAGAGGAGAGGAGAGGAGAGGAGAGGAGAGGAGAGGAGAGGAGAGGAGAGGAGAGGAGAGGAGAGGAGAGGAAAGGAGAGGAGAGGAGAGGAGAGGAGAGGAGAGGAGAGGAGAGGAGAGGAGAGGAGAGGAGAGGAGAGGAGAGGAGAGGAGCTTTCTCATTGCCAGCACTGTCTCCTGTTTCACATCCAGCAATGGGGCTGCAGCATCTCTGCCCCTGTCCCAGCTCAGGGTGAGGCTGTAGCAAAGTCATTTGAGCTGTTGGATGTGAAGTGCATGTGCCTACAGACAGAGAAAGTGAATATGGGGTTTTCTTGGGGTTGTTTGTTTTCTGGAAGGGTTTGGAGACAGTTCTTGGAGTGGCAGATATGATAGTGTCAGCTGATTAGTAGGAAGGATATGATTCCAACTCCTTCTCAGCCAATGAATAGGACAAATAAGTTGTTGGTGATGATTAGGATGAGTAGAGCAATTAGGAAGAATAGTAGGTAGGTGGAAAATTTTGTGATATAGGGGTCTGAAGCTATAGATCATGTTGCAAATAGTAGGATAGATCATGATACAAACAGTGCAATGGAGTTCTTGGAGTGGCAGATAAGTAATTCCAGAAGCCTCATCACTGAGAGTGATCACTGTCTCCAAACCCCTCCAGAAAACAAACAACCCCAAGAAAACCCCATACTCACTTTCTCTGTCTGTAGGCACATGCACTTCACATCCAGCAGCTCAAATGACTTTGCTGCAGCCTCCCCTGAGCTGGGACAGGGGCAGAGGTGCTGCAGCCCCATTGCTGATGTGAAACAGGAGACAGTGCTGGCAATGAGATGTGCTGGCTGGGGAGGGCACTGTGCCAGCTCTGCCACTGCTCCTGCTGCTCTGGGACTGGAGGTGCCCCCACAGGGCTGAACAAGGTGGCTTCAGGAAGACCAGAGTGAGTTCATTTGATGCAAGGAGCTGTGCTGATGTGCAGTTTGGCTGTCAGGCCCAAGGAGTGATAAACAGCTGGGTTGGAGGAGGTCAGCTGGGGTTGCTGTGCACAAGATACTGAAGTGAAACCAGTCAAAGGATTTCTGTTAGCTTGTGCTGGCTGAGCAAGGGGGAAGCTGGGTTTGTTTATTGATAATTATGAAGCTGTGGAGAGCTTTGTGCATTAGCACTGGGCTATATTTAAACAGTATCCTGTCTGTCAGATGTCCCTATTACAAAATGTTCTTTGCCAAGATCATGGGCCTCTCTTTTTTAAAGTTGGATTTGAAAATCAATTGTTTTCAGAAAATTGGTTAATATGCCATGGCTGTGGCACCTCTGTGTGTCATTCCAAGAGCATTTTAAAGATGTTATGAACAGCTATGGGAAATGCCACTTCACCACTTGGAGAGTAGAATGATTGCATTTCTGAGAGATGAACTAATTCTTAGTGCAGAAAATAGAGTGTTCTCCAGCCTCTCACCCTGTGTGCTGC